TAAGTGGAAGCCAGATTCTGTTAATTCAGTCATGAAGCCATGGCCCGCAATACCCCCCATCCCCAGGAGCCATGGTAGAAGCAATTTCATATACTGAGGAAGTACAGTATAGCCTTTCCAGTTGAAGGTATGTACAAACATAAATACATGATAGATACATTCTAAAATGGACTTGAAGATGTCAGTTCTGCTATTAATGGGCATTGTGCACTCAAAACATACATCTCAACTATCTCTACAAAAAAGAAAAAACTGTTTCTTCACACACCCAAGATCAGAAAAATAGAGACCCTTTCCCCTGAGAGTCTGTCAATAGAACCTGGGCTGTTATTAGTCATTACAACTCCATTTGACTTTGTTCAAACTGAACCCATTAGCCCGGACAACTATTTCATACCACACACTGTTGACCATTACTCTTGCTAGAATAAGGCCTTGTGCATTAGTAGACTCCTTCAAAGGAAGGACCTTTGTAATTATACGCCCTTCTTTTTGTTAAACTCTGTAAATGGATAACTTTCAGATATCTTGGATGTGTGTGCTCTTTAGATGTAAAATTAGTTTGTTAGCTTCCTCAGTGCAGAGCTGCTCTGTGAAAATAAAAATAATAATCTTGCTTAGGGTATAAAAGGAGGTAATGGGAGTGGTGTTTGAAAGAAAAATTTCAATAAGGGCATTAGCATATGTAATCAAGTGTATACTAAGTTCTTAAGTTAGATAGAGCACGACACACATATGTTATTTCCTTGAACGTTTGCATGCCTGTTTTATGTGTGGCTGCAAATTACTATTATTGTGGACAAAGTGTATTTTAATGTGTAATTTTAATTACTGAAAATGTTAATATCTAGTGAATTTAAATATATGTCACTTTTCGTTATCTTTACTATTGTACTAGGTTCCCTTTTCTCTCCTGAAGGGAAACTCTCCCCTTGTCCTCAAGATGAAGACTGGGGATCACTATAAAATGATTCTCATACTTTGAAATCCTCCAATTTACACCACATTTTATAATGTTAAGTAAATGTTAACTATGCCTAATTACATTCACCTTTACAGTAGTAATTTCAGCTAGATTCCATGATGATGGTCTTTTTTTTCTACCTTGCATCATTTAATCTAAGAGCAAGAATTCAAAGGCATTTTATCATATTGTTTCCCAGCCATTTCTCAGATGAAAACTTGAAGTAAAAGAAATAGAAAGAAAAGTAGTAAAATGTGGAATACGGTAAGGAATAACTTTTAGTTGTTTTTGTATTAATAAGTTAATGCATTGATACTTGAAAATCCATTAACATGAGTAAACAATGTTATCAACAGCATTTAATTTTGATAGTTACTTTAAAAACCACAATGACAGTTTTATTTTTAATGAAACTAAAGAAATACTCTCCTCATTTCTTAATGCCATACATACACCCTTAGATATTTTGCTTTCAGTGATGCAATGAATATGCAATGAACTGCGTACTTTAATAATTTTTCAATTGGAAATAAAAACTGACGAAAAAGCCTTAATGATATTTTGCAAACTTGAAACATGATCACATTCCCCAGATTGACTACAGCATTAGAAAATAATTAAAACTTTATCCATATTTCTATGTAAGCTGTACCAAACAAATGGTATAACTATTGTCTAACATTACAATTACAGGGTTAGTTACACACCATGTAAAAAAAAAATTATCAGTAGCAGATGTAAATCTGACAAGACGTGTTCTCCAGCAGAATGCACTACCTGTATACTGCCTGGATATAGCAATCAATGGGGTGGAACTATAGATGAGGGAGCCTGTCTGTGTCCTTTATACTCTTTCCTTATGTACATTAGGAGTTGCCACAGTGACTCACAGATTTGGCAAAGTTTTTATTCCAGGTAAACTTCCTGATACAACCAGGAAATGGTTCAAACTGGCGACAATCTGGTCGCATGACAAACCACTGCAATCTCCTCTACTATCTCCCTAATAAAACGTGGGGACATATAAAATCTCATGATCAGAATCTAGCAATAATGGTCAATATGTGTGAAGTTTTCCACCCAAGGAATGCAAAAGGAGCAGGAAACCAGTGTAGGAAAGAACAGGATTATGTTTTAGATCAATTTGTAACAATGAGGGGCACAACTACAAACTTTTAAGGGGAATGGAGAAATATTACATCCCCACAAAACAATTATTAATGTTTATGGTTACAAATCATATTTATTCATTGACCTAATAAAATACATGACTTTTTTAAAAGACTTTCTGGACACATTAATTCTCTGTTCCTCTCTCTGTTAATCTGCACCTCTCTGTTCTACATTCTCCTCTGTGGTGATTGACTTACTGTCTGCTTGACATATTTTCCCAAAAGGACACAGTGAACAGGTGGTCAGGAGAAATTTGAACCATTCTGGCTGTTATCTCGGTTATTCTGACCTCACTAGTTTATTTATTCCTACATGATGCCATCACTGGTCTCCTCTAGAGCAGATGCCATCAACAATCTCATATCTGTCTCCCTCACCCAATGCCTGCAGTCTCCTCTGTTAGGTCACACTGTTAATCAATAGTTATTAATAGGGATAAAAGTGCAGTTCTTGCAAATGCACCATTTTCTTTATAAATAATAAAGAAAATAAATAAATCAGTACTTGAGCTGTTCATAAACTTTCAGCTAATTTTATACCAGCCCTTCCCCTGTGGATTCTGATGCTTTCTTTTCTTCCTTTCTTTCTTTCCATCCTCACAGCTGATGACATTTAATAGAGAGTCAGAGTTTTTGAAAAACTGAGCTGCCAAACAGATAAAAGGTAAAAGAATATATTTAAAATGTTATCCTTATTGGTTATCAGTTGCTTTGCTTACACGACGCTGCATCCGATCACCATTATCGTACAATAACTGTACTGTAGTGTTATAGCTGAGTGTAGGCAATTAAAGCCTGTTAGCTCAGTAATATCCATTTTTATTTTCTTATTAACCATAAATATATAGTTATATTTATATCATTTTTAGAATCTTATTAAACAATTCTTATTCTTGTTAAACAAAAATAACCACACACACCTAATTTTCATTTTATGATCTTTTTCTAATACTCATCACTACTGGAGACCTGAGACAATGCAACAGTTTTCATATTTGACTGTTAGTCAAAGATGGGTTGAATCAGACAAACCACATTTTTAAACATTAATCTCACATTTGTATTGATTATTGAAAAATTTAGAGAGTTCCTCTTTCACAATTTGCATCTTAATTTAAAATCAGATTTTGCAACTCGCAAATGCTCCTGGACCTTTAAACCATGAAGGTTTGAGTTCAATCAGAAAAACTCACAATACTAAAACAAAGGAAAAGCTTGAATAGAAAATACTCTCAGCTTGAAATAATATGTTTCTAACTAATTGGGGAAAATCTGATGCTTTTCCTCTTGAAAGAAGGTCCCCAGTCTCCACTGGCAACGTAACAGTAATATGTCAATTTACCACTGGTAGCCTTAGGTAATATTTGCAACGCCCCTTTTGACTGACATGTGTTACTTAATATATCTAATCAACTTTAAATGTTAGAAGAAATAAAAAAATATATATAAGTTTTAAGATGTCTTTACACCTTTACCTCTTCGTATTTAAAGTTTTGATTTGTATTGAAGGCCTGTTTTGCTAATAGCCCTTACATTTCTAAAAGAAGGATATACTGGATGGTTTGCAGGTGAAGGAGCAGATACATATTTAGTGATTTGCTTCTGTTATTGATGACATCAGATGCAAAAAACAGCTGTATCAAGCAGAAATGGCTGAATAGACATGATTGTCTGACAACCGCTTTGGTACTCCTTCTAGCTCAGCGCCCCTATGCACCACATATGCTGCATAACCAATTTTTGCTCCACTGGTAACAATACTGCTAGTCTTTAAGCTTCCTCAGAGCCTTCAAAGGTGCTGCAGATGGCACTACACCAAACCCTCCCCTCTGCAGCTATGAGTGTGTGTTTCAATGTTAAGCAGGTTCTAGAAAATGCTTTTTTAAATTAACAGCAATGCAACTGTTATTTAAAAGAGAAGGGTTTTGTCAGAAGAATATTAAGAGAAATTGAAAGCAGAGAGAGTTGCTGAATTATCCACAGAAGCATTAGAAACGCTTCAAGCGAAAAGAGAAACTTTCTAGTGTAAATAACTGTAAATATCTCCTGAATCAATAAGCCTGCTTATCAATGGCCCATCTAAGGTCTTCTGCCTAAAATCTGTTTTACATAACAAAGGACCAAGAAGTCATACAGTAGCAGCTTTAAGTTCTAATATCTGCTCCACTAACCTTTTAATATTAGTTAAGTTTCCAGTCCATCTTTTGTTCCATTCCATTTCCTCAAGCTTTTCATGTTGTTATCTTTTATGTTTTATATACATATATATATATATATATATATATATATATATATATATATATATATATATATGTGATTTTTATCTTTGATTTTATTTGCACTGTATAGCACTTTGAGATTTTTGTTAATGAAAAGTGCGGTACAAATTGGATTTATTATTATTATTATTATTAACTAAGAACATTAAATTTGTTTTATCCTTTAGCTATTAGCTATTCTGCTTTAAGTCTTTTCTATTTTGGTGAAGTCTTATGATTATGTGGCCGGAGGTGTTTTGTTGTCTTTGATGTGATAATACAGGTTGCTGTGGCAGATAAGGAATGGTCATCTAGGCAGGATGAATTCTGCCACTGCCAACACTGTTCAGTCCCAACCTGTGTTTAAGGAAAATCGCTATATATATAGTTTTTTTATTAAATAACATAACTATACCCAATGAACATGCTCTTATAACTAGAGGAGAGCATTTAAAACTTACAAAAGTCATCATGGAAGACTTGGGTGACTTTAATTTCAGAAAAAAAAACTTGACCAACTGATGCGTTTTCACAAACTGTTACATAAGGCCCAACACATCAACTCTATAGAGCCACCTCTCATCCTTTTTCACTAACATTACTTACTCTCTTCCCAGGCAAACCCGGATTTCCTGGTATCCCGTCGTTTCCAGGGATACCCTGAAAGAAGGAACTGATGTTGAACTAGTTTGTTTCCAATTAAGGGTTGGCCACTCCCATCTCCACCAGTGGTTAAGGCAGAGTCAAAGGGGCAGGGTCAAGCAAAATAACCAGTCCCTCATCCTGCCATATCTTTATTAAAGATACCAAAGAAATCTCATGCCAAAACGAATGACATGGCTTTTCAATTAATTCCCTTGAACTGCTACCTCTATTTACACCTTTGACTCTTGCAGCATTTTCACTTTATTTGAAGGTCTGTTCAATTAAAATCAAAATTGAAAAATTTATTTAAAGCAAAAACAAGCATTAGACAATTTTTTAATCCTTATCATTTTTTTTTCCAGACCTTCAAATAACTGTTCATGTCTCCACAGACATTATGAAAGCTTGCTTAGATGCTTCCTCTTTGTGTTAAAGCTGAAAGCACCAGATGGGTTAGTGTGTTCATTAACTTGGTTTGCTTTTTTTAACCTGGTTATGTTCAAGCTTTTGCACACATACTTTTTGTTTATGGTCACTCCATATCCTACATGCATATCATGGACCACCTAAAGAAGCAAAGCATTTAAAAGCCATATTTATACTATGTACCCAAAGGCCCAAGCTGAGATGCTGGAAAGTTCTCAAAGCCTTTCAGATTTTCCAAAATTTCTTTATATTAGACTCACTTTGAAAAACATTCTACACACTGTACTGCACGATAACAAAGCCAATGTAGGCTTTTTAAATTTTTACTCATGATAGAAAATAGATAAAGTAAAGCTTCTAGCTAAAATAGATGTTTTTATATTTATTCTGTTTGGAGTCAATTTGCTTCTCTGTTTGTTCAATGTGCAAAATGGAGATAACAAACATTTGTCTCCTTAGGGTTGCACATTGATGCTCAGTGAAAAAATATATTCTCTACTTTTCTATCTGCTTTTGCTTTTTTGTACTTTAACTTGAGAAGAAGACATTCTTTATGATGATAGGATTTATTGACATGGAAAATTCCATTCAAATACAATATCCCCATTTCTATACACCATAGCATTAATATTTACAACATAGGGGCATACCATCCAAAAAGTGGTCAGCCTGCCAGGATTTTTTGAACAATACATTAAAAACTCAATGTGGAATCATATATAAAATTATGTTTCTATATTTACTCAAGTTATCCTTTCCTTGTTTTTAAAAGTGGAACTAAGGTGTAAACTGCCTTGTGAAAATGTTCAGCCCCTTGAACTTTTGACCTTAACCATATTTCAGGCTTAAAAAAATAGAAATTTGTATTTATTTTGTGAAGAATCAACAAGTGGGACACAATCATAAAGTGGAATGACATTTATTGGTTAATAAACTTTTTTAACAAATAAAAAGATAAAAAAAAATGCAAATGATTCAGCCCCTTTGAGTTAATACTTTGAACCCACCCTTTTTGTTGTGAATACAGCTGCAAGTGGCTTGGGGGATGTCCCTACCAGTTTTGTACATCGTGTGACTAAAATTTTTGCCCATTCTTCCAGCAAAACAGCTCGTGGGGGGGAGCAGTGAGGTTGGACGGAGAGCGTTTGTGTGTTTTCTGTTCTTTCCACAGATTCTTGATTGCATTCAGGTCTGGACTTTGACTTGGCCATTCTAACACCTGGATATGTTTGTGAACTATTCCATTGTAGATGTTGCTTAATGTTTTGGATCATTGTCTTGTTGGAAGATGCATCTCAGTCTCAGTTGCAGATCTCTAAACACACAGCCTGTCGGTAAAACGGCGAATACGTCCTTTTTCAAAAAATCAATGAACGTAGAGCTTCTTTCTGCTCACGTTTCAACGAAAACCCCAAGTCTAATCCTTCCAAAGCTGATTCCAAAGCTGAGTCAAAAAGCCATCAGAGCGAGCAGTCCTTCACACACGACTATGCAGAGAGAGGGCTGCTGCAGATGGGCTGTGGTTAGCCCTGGCTGCTGTTAACTTCAAAGCTCCGCTGGTTGCCCCGGTCCTCTCAACTTTGGAAATAGTTTTTTTAATTAAGTAAATGGTAAATGGACCATGTAGTGACGTTTTAAAGTATAATATTCTCACCTCAAATTATCTTAAAATGTGCTTTTATTGGTAAACAGAAACAGAAAGAGAACTTTTAACTTTCAATGGAACGCTCAATTGAAAGCTGCTGCTGTGCATGCTATTGTGTTTAGCAGCTTTGTCGTCACACCGTCAAAACCCTGCCGGCTTTGCATCCAAAAATTCAAAACACATCTCTTCGTTGTGATTGGCCCACCAGATATAGGGCCTGGAGCATTGATTGAGGCTAGACCCACTAGGCAAAAATTATTTAGGCCGCTGGCGGGTGGGGCTAGTTTACTAGGCTATAAGAAATGGCTTTGTTCCATAAAGGCCAGATTTGTGCAGTAGACAACTGATTGCGGTTCTATGGACAGAGTCTTCCACATCAGCTGTAGATCTCTGAAGTTTGTCCAAGAGGCATCACATTTAGGACGATTACTCTGTTGACTCTTCTTATTTGTGTAGAGGGACGGTCTTATACTCCTTCCATTTCAATGTTATCACTTGCACAGTACTCCTTGGGATGTTTAAACTTTTTAAATCCAAATCTGGCTTTAAGCTTCTCCACAACAGTATCTCAGACTTGCCTGGTGTGTTCCTTGTTCTTCATGATGCTTGCAACGCTTTAAACAGTTCTCAGAGACTATCACAGAGCAGGTGCATTTATATGGAGACTGATTACACATAGGTGGATACTACTTATCATCATCAGTCATTTTGGTCAACACTGGATCATTCAGAGATCCTCCCTGAACTTCTGGAGAGTTTCCTGCCCTGAGAGTAAACAAGCCAATTCATCTTGCACACCCTACTGTTCAGTTCAGATTTTTTTGTTCAATTTGTTAAAAAAATAAATAAAAATGTTCTGCTTCATGATTGTGTCCCAGTGCTTGTTGATTATTCACAAAAAAAGAAAAATGTTATATGTTTATGTTTGAAGCCTGAAATGTAGCAAAAGGTGAAAAGTTCAAGAGGGCCGAACGCAAGGTACTGTATGCTATTTTATGCTATTGGTAATACAGTAGTTGAGCACTGCAAATCTAAATGAGCGGAAGAAAAAAAAAGAAGACATACAGCAAACCCTTATAAAAAAAAAAGAGGTCCGTGGTGTTTAGGGCTAAAAGAAAAACAAAAAAAAATATATATATAAAGCAGATGTCAATAAGCATATAAGAGTATTGCTCTTGCAGATGTTCAGTTGGGGACAACTTTGTGCATTTTGCAAAAAAAAACAACCAATTTATTGAGTCTAAAATAAAGAAATGTAGAAAATGTGAAATTGTTTGACAAGTTTCCATCAGAACAATAATCATAGTTCAATTCAGATAAATAGAGCAACTCCTGAATTGAACTATAAGAAACATCCTAATCACCACCCAACAGTCCCTCTATTTTACCTGAGGTCCTTGAAGGCCAGTTACTCCCTGAGGTCCAGGAGGGCCAGGAGGGCCAGGAGGTCCCGGTGGGCCCTAAAAAATACAAACAGACGACAAATAGTACCAAGATAAAAGCATAAAAAGGAGATGTTGGGAGTCAAATATCTCAGACAAAGCAGTTTTTTTCTACTGGTGACAGATCCAACCTGAGGCCCAGGCTGCCATACATTTGATACGGTTCCCGGAGCTCCCTTCAAGGCAAGAATAGGCAAAATCAGAGCAGCAAAGGTGAAACTTATGATGTTAAAAATAAATGTCAACAAATGCCAAACCACAGTAAGACACAAAGTAATAACAAAGCATTTTTTCAACCCATACCCATATCCTTATAAGATACAGTTAAGAATCAGTTTTCTGTCATCTATTTTCTATGCCCTTATAATGTATAGAACTTTCTCTTTAGTTTATCTTTTTAGGGTTCTTTTTTAAAAATCAGTACATATGTGTTTAAAAACATATACTCACAGGTCCACCCACACTTGTAGACACAGATGAGATGCAGTTACAGTCTCCTGGTTCCCCCTGGAAAATTATTACATAAAATGACCAAAAAGCTTCAAATAAAGTTATTTCTGCATTTTCAAGAAGTCCCTGCACAACATTTTCCTATCTATGTATCTACAGTATTCTATCTCCAGGTTCTCTAAAGTCTATTGTAGTTTTTCGTTGGACACTAAAACTGAAAGAGTGTTAAGATTAGAGCTGATCCAACTAAATGTTTTGTTTCTACATAATTTTTTTTTTTTTTTTTTTTTTTTGGATGCTCCAAGATTCCTGTTTTTCTATAAACATGTGCATGCCTGCGTGTTTTTCCACTACCCTGTGAGGGGCTTTGGCCTATCCCAGGTGCACCATCACCCAATAGTTACCAAATACCTGTGGTTTAATGAGATCACAATTATCTCTTTTGCTTTTAAAAACAATGTATTTCAAACAGCGGTGGGGGACGTGAAGTCACTGAAATAGGTGAGTCAAATCTGCACAATGAATTGAATTGTGCAGATTGATCACATGGTAAAGAGATGACTTGTTGACTCCACATCTCCCATCTCTAAAATTTCTAAAATCCTCCCTAGTTTAGCTTCAAAGTTACACAATATAAGATCACCTTAGTGTTTGTAAGTTTTGTGACAATTTTTGTTATGAGGCTCTGAAATTTAACCATCACTTTAATTGATAGAAAAAAAGCAAACAAACATGGTAAATATTGGAATTGTTTTCCAATTTAGCTATCTATATCATTGTCATATTATTTATCCTACAATGGATTTCAGCATTCGAGAATATTTTGCGTGTCTATTAACGATGGCCGTTGATTATGAAAATACTGTTTTTACATATTATGTCTATTGGGATAAAGGGTCAATTATTTACATAGGGGTACAATATGTGAATGGAGTCAGTTTGTTTAGAAATTAACTTATACTTTTTTTCCCAAAACTGATGAGCCCTTAACTCTATTATATAAAAAGGTAATTGTTCTAAAATCATTATGCGAGTGCCTCCAAGTAATTTAAAACATTTAGCTGAATCATAAAAAGATATGTTATGTATGATGCCTTTAAGTGCAGCTGCTTATGCCAGGGAATATCTTCACATGTCCTTGCCATCTGGCCTAGCTGAGGATGAAAATCTACATATTTTTATAAAAAATGCATAGAAAGTGTCATACTGGAGCTTATGTCATATCCAAAGAGTTTCGATTATCTTAAGGCTATGGATCAGTATTAGGGTTTTGAAATGAATTGTGCTTGCAATATAATCACAATTTAACAAAACGCAATTTTCAAATCAGAGAGGCCCTGATATTTAATCACACTATGATTAACAAGAGAAACACACTCAATTTCTCCAGCCCTTTAGGTACTGATTAAACACTTGCAATGGGTTTGTTGTCAAAAAAAGGTAGAAGAAGTCACAGCCAGTGTTGTCCATGAATGCGTTCAATAAATATGTTCATATTTTTTGTGAATGGTGAAATGAACGGATACGTTTTGAAATAATGCAAGTAAACGAGAGCGACATTCACTCTGAAAAGAATGAGCAGCACAGAGCCCACGTTCGCTTTCAATTGATAATGACACTCTCTATTGGATTACATCAGATTTTACTGCACTTATAATGGCAAACATGACATGTCAGTGTGTCTACTGCTAGTACTATTCTGCATGATTCAGACTCATCTACTGGTATTTCTGATGCCAGTCTTGCAGAGCGAGTTTTATGAACTAACAAACAAATACTGGGACAGGAAAATCTCACATTTTTGTGTAAACTGTGCCCACTGGGACTTAACAAGTCCATAAGTCAGCTATGTCCTCTGAAAATTTAAAGCGACACATCGAGTTATATTATCAGAGCTATCCTGGGAAATATCTGCAACTGAATGAGAAACGTGAAAAAGAATTTTTCATACTGATCTTTTCAGCAGAACCTGTATGTTTCTGAAGTTCTGTGTAATTTGGCTAAATAAAGGCTGCACATACATTACAGCTTAACTGCATCAAATACTTTCCACTCCTCTCTATGTATTTGGACCACACATTCAAATTTAAATATGAGGTTCTATTGTGTAGGATTGTGGCTTGATTTACCAAATGAACTTTAACTGGTTCATTTATAGGTTTGTGAACTTAGTTCATTTTTGAAAACTTAAGCAAAGAATTTGAGCTAGTTCTTTTTAACTAGGAAGTGGCACATCATTGGCTCCAGTTTGCACACAGATCCATGCATGCAAGAAGACACTTTTTCACTCAATGGATACAATAAAGTTTTGTAGTCTTGGACTATGATCAAGCAAGCTTTCAAAAACCAAAGGTCTGGGGTGAATAAGCTTTGGGTTAGTGCAAAGGAAAATTAAAATAAAATCACGATCACAATTTAGATTTTTGGCTAAATTGTTCACCCTAATCAGTAGCACAGCTGAATCACATTGGCAGCTTTGCAACACTGTAGAGTGGCATATGAACAAACGCAGATTCCCCTGACAATCTTCTGACACTTGCTTTGCAATAATCAGGTCAACAAATATACTTCCTCCTGTTTTGTTTTTCTTCACTTTATTCTAACTTTTAAATTATCTTTTGTGAACACTTGAGTCCCTTATTCCACACCCTAAAGCCCTGCCTCTTTGCTTCTTCATCCAATGCTTCCTCATAGTAACAGTCTGAACTGGACTGGCTCTGATACAAGCAGTAATTAAAATTCTCATATGTAGCGTCTCTCTTCAGGCCAACAAAAGGGCTCATCTGCCAACAGCAGCACACTTGTCACCTCTACTGCTACTCCGTCTGTAGCCATGGGTCCACATATTCACGGTTGTTTCTGTATGATTTTGTCCTCTGGTGAAAACGACCAGTCATTGGAGACTGTTGAGCCTTTTCCTGTGATTGCAATCTGTTTCACACCCTTTTATTGAAACCCCTCTAGTCCTTGTCATTTGAACAAAATAGTGAACTTACTTTGTCCCCTTTGGCTCCATGAGACCCCTGCAAGAGAATGAGATACACATGCACATTGAGAAACACAGAAGTTACTGTTGCTTTGTTTCACCTAGGAGCAAGTTGAGCGGAGTTAACAGAGTAAGGATGAAATGGTAGCAGACTTCTCCTTTCCTATGGTTTGAGGCAGAAAGCCTCAGTAATGCCTGAAACAATTCCTAAAAAAGTTTGGGGTAAACTTAAACTCTTCAAAGAAGCACACATAAAGAACAACTTTTTTCTTTGGCTTCTTCCCTGAACTGCTAATGAATATACAGAAAGGATGAAAACCAAATGAAAACATAAAACAGATTATAACTCACCGGTCTGCCATCCGCCCCTGGAAGCCCTCTAGCTCCCTGGTTTCCATCTTTACCCTTTACGTCAATAGCAATTCAGTCATATTTTGATAGGGAGGCAAGAAAAACATGTATATGGCATGTCAGTCTGGCAATCTTAATAACAGTCTAGGATAAATATAAACAATAACATAATTATAAAAGTAAATGATTAATATTAAAATCTACCGGAGGTCCTGCTATTCCGACACCTTCTGGTCCCCGTGGCCCTGGAAGCCCCATATCACCTCTTGAACCCTGTTACAAAAAGAAAAAAAAAATGTTTGGGATATGTTTTAGAAGTAGATGTCATCATTAGGGATAAAAACGTTACCTTTTCCCCTGCAGGGCCAACAGGGCCAGGTAATCCTCCAACACCAGGGGGACCCTAAGAAAATGAACAGATTCGACAAAATAAATAATTCATTGGTTATAAAAGTAGCTGTATACGTTTTAAGAGAAACTCACCGCTAGTCCTGGGAGACCTCTTGGACCTTCAATGCCCTAGAATAAAAATGAAATTTAACTGAAACAGCAACATATCAACAGGGCAGTGGGTGGGTAATTGTATAGAGGTGCCTAACTGATCACAACCGATCAGGTTGTTTCTGTATTTTTTTATACAGTATGGACAAATATATGTTTATTGGTATTTTTTTGTATCGATAAATTCCTTACATTTTAGATTTTTTTATTTTAAAAATCATGAAAATCAGACATTTTCTTTTATTCTTTCTACATCACAACTGTGTGCCATGCGTGGGTATGTTGAATAAATTCATAAGAAAAACCTTCATGGCTTGGGTTACAATGTGACAGATGAGAAAATACCAATTCTTACTTGTGGCCCTTGAAGGCCGACTCCTGCAGCCCCAGTTTCTCCCTATCAGGGGCAAGCACACCATAGATTGGATTAAAGTGACATTAGTAAACTAGATAAAGGTACAATTCTCTCTCTCTTTCTTTCTCCATATATATTTATATATATATATATATATATATATATATACATCTTTTTTTTTTGTAAAACAAAATTCATACTTTGCTTCCTTTGGGACCAGATGGGCCCTGCACACCTGGTAAGCCAGGTTTTCCCTGAAGAGAACAAATGTAAGTTAAACTTCAGTTTTAAGTGCAAAGATAAAAATAAATTCCAGCTCCAGTTTACAGTTTGGCCCGGTTTCCCTGCTCCTGGGGATCCAGGGTCTCCTTTCTCTCCTTTGGGGCCTGGCACAGCTACACCATCCCCCACCACAGCACCAGTGGAAGAACAGGAAGTGCATGCATCTCCCTGACAAAACAAACCAAAAGCATGATAACAAACTTTCAGGATGAGTCAAAATAACAAATATTTGTGTGCTATAATCTCTTATTTATTTATTTTTTGTTTGTTTTTGTTTTTTTGTTTGTTTTTTTTACAAAAGAAATGAACACTAGTTCACATCTATTTAAAGGTGATCATGATAAGTAGAGCTTTAACTCTTCAAATAGTATTTTTGAATAAGTCACCAAAAGGCAAATCAAGCAGCAGCAGTTTGAAATAAAAAGTACTTTGTGCTGCAATTTTACCTTCTCTCCCTTTAAGCCCATTGATCCATCCCGGCCAGGCTCTCCAGGTAGTCCCGGGACTCCGGGGTCACCACTCAGTCCCTTTTCTCCCTGTTCGCCTTGCTCACCCTGATAAGACACAAAAACAACACAAAAAGCACAAATAGAAACAGTGACGTCTTCTAGCTTTGATCGGAATTGCGTGTTTATGTTCAAAGTACAGATAGAAAAAAGGTTGTTATTCATTCAAAACGTGTTTCTCAAATAAAGAAAATAATTGCAGCTTAATTATTCCAACAACTCTAAACTTTGAAGTTGAAGTTCAATGACTCTAGAGGTTCTATGGGAATTTAAGCAGCTGGCTTTGTTTATGGTAAATGTATTTATAAGATTAACTTTTGAGGTGTAATATGAAGCACAAGCTGGAGAATGTTACCTCAATTAGTGAAAATATTGAAATAGCACAATTAGATGGTTTATTTTCTTAAGATAATACAAGGTAAACTTACCTTTTCTCCCTTTGCACCAGACAGACCTATTGGTCCCTGTTAAAAATAAAGATGAGAACTTATTTAGTTGCAGAATAGAGTAAAACCGTTGTCTGTTCAGATGGAAAAAAGCTGCTGATATAAAGCTGACATAAGAACACAGTATGTTATGTGAATAGATGTCAGAAGAACAAAGACATTTATCGTAATTAGTGACTGCTCCATAGTGCCTGGATAATTCTCTTATACTATGTTAATACAATGAGTAAATTGTATTAACATATTGAGTAAATTAAAATGGGTAAATTTACCACCAGGGTTGAAGTCTTTCCAGCCTTGTAAACTTTTTACTCACCCAGATGGTGGGTAACTAGTTAAAGTATGTTGCACAACAAAGAACAAAGTATCAGCCCTGGTCTTGTGGAAATAGTAAAATGTTAATTTTGATGCCATTAATAAATGTCAGCTTGTAGACACAGAACAGATTTTTTTGTACTTTTGTTTACAGAGGGAGAAAAGAACCCAATCTATTTTCTCTTTAGGGAGGCAGCATGGGTTTCTTTTTCTTTATTATACTAATATGCAAATAAACTCCACAAGATTGCAACTTAAAATGAGATTAAAATTGTTCTAATCAATCTCACCAGTAGAATTGAACAATCCATCTGGCTACTTCTTTTTTACCATTGACATTTTTTGACAGTTTTCTTCTTCTTTTTTTTCTTCCCATTTCCTGGGGCAACGTTTTACCTGTTTGCCTTCAGCTCCAAGACCTGGAAGTCCAGGGAGACCTGGAGGGCCAGGTTCACCCTTTTTTCCCTCAGGCATTTTGAGGCCAGCTGGTTTTTTATCAACATCTGATGCTGTGCACACACCACAGTCACCCTAGAGATAAACAAGGAGTCTAAATTAGTCTGCATAACAGAGTTAAATATTGCATGACACAATAAAAGACACGTACCCTCTCACCCTTTGGGCCCGGTACCCCAACACCAGGCATTCCTTGTTCTCCCTAGTAGGAGAACAGAAAGGTCCATCACACTATCATAAGGTTACAGTATATATATTGAATTATGTACTTATATATTATTTTATATTTTAAATCAATCTATCATAACAATGCACATGTGAAAGATTTCCATAGGCCTTTGAAATGAGTTTATGCATAGATCAGACCAAAAGCATTAAATGTCACTATATCACTTTTAATTTATTTATGCTAAGGCTTAAATAAAGAAAGGAAATATTACAGCTCTAAGACCCACTTTTACTATATGACAGATTTTACACTGAAATTAATTTATAGAGGTTAACACTTGTCTGGCATATCTCATGTTCAAGACCTTGTAGTTGTCTATAAAGTAGCATTGATGATGAACACTGAGGTAAGCTTAATAGGATATAAAATAAAAACAATTTTTTTTAACTAGATTGACATAAAAACAGCTCTGGCTCAGACTTTTCCTATGAGTTGAAATAATTTTTCATACAATAATACCAGGGCAAAGAGTTTTCCCTGTAAGAAATATATATACTGTTTCTAGATTTTTATTATTTGGATGATCAAAACATGTTTCAGAGCAAATCTTAAATACATTTCTTTGAATAAAGATGAAAAATATTCAATTTAATGAAGAAACAGGAGTAATCCAACAAAACATGCCCCTACTTTTACCAGAGAGCTCGCTCTCTGATCTAATAACTGACTGTGGCTGCCCTAGAAGCAAAAACTGCCATCAAACATTTGTGATAAACATTTAATCCTTCAAATCTCTTAGGAGGAATTCCGGCCAACATTTACTTCCACAAGTGATATTTCCTTCAGCGTCATTGGAAGATTGTGGAGCATGAATGTCCTGTTTAAGGTCATGCCAAACGTCACATCTTGGATTAAAGACGGCAACGTCAAAACTTTGCCAAGAATTATAGCTTTACACTTTTCTTCAGGATTTTCTGGTGGAAATAATTATTCATGTCTCCATAAATTTTTAGTTGTCAACACAATTCTGTCGCATTTTTCTTTTCTAGGACATCCAAAAAAAGCACTGTAGCTAACTGTAATGGCGGAAGTGCTAAAATGTTCCCTAAGTACCAAACGTCACACAAGCTATCTGAAAAGTCAAATGAAAGTGTGAAGAAAAATAGTAAAATAAAACTATTTTGAAAATGTGAGGATGAGCTTTCAAAAGTGCTTGTCAGAGTTTAGAATATCTGTATTCAGCTGGTGTAAGGGAATGTGTTTCTGCTTACTGCATAGTTTCAAACTAAATTGCATATTTAGCTATATTTTAGCAGCATTGTCTTCAAGCAATGGAAAAGCACTGGTAAAACAGAGAGAGAGAAGAGCGCTGGACTTTTGGTACTCTGAGAATACAGAGGAAGAAGAAAACAGAAAAAACCTTGAGGGCCTCCAACACCCACTTCACAGCAGCCATGTTGTGTATAACTGTCGACTCAATCTTAAGGAAACTTTCTAATTATCTATTAAAGGAAGGTCTGTCCATGAATGTTTCTGCCAGGCTGTGCAAAGTCAGTTTTATTTTTAAATAGTCACATGTGTAAAACATGAACAGGGTTTAATTTAATTGTCTATCTTCAATGATAGAACAGGAGAAAAAGTAAAAATTAGCAGAAAGAAAATACATTTATTTGTTTGGTTGCAAGGTTTGCAAGAGTTCGTCTCTTAACCACATTTCCTACCTTTGCACCTTTCTGTCCATCCTTCCCACTGCCCCCCCTTGGTCCAGGTTTCCCCTGTATGCATGGCCATATTTCACTTTATTACATCACCAGGTTTGGAGTGAGAAAAATTCAGATTCAAAGGGCTGAGGCTGAACTCACCGTCTTTCCATCGGCTCCCGTTCTGCCTGCATTACCCTGTAGACGGATAACTGAAAAGATCACTGAAATTCCCCATTTTGATAAAAACTGATTGCTTTTTAAATTGGTAATTCACACCTCAGAGTTAAGTTGTACCCTATGGGCAGCTATGTCAGATAATATTGGTTCTTGAGTACCTTGGCTTTTTCATAATAAGTTTCTTGCTGCGAAAAAGAATCTTATGGGAGGAGGTTTGAGGCCCTTAAAATTAGCCCACTGCTGTGATTATCATCCTGATGCAATTGATTAAGAGCTCTGCTCCTAAACCCTACCAAGTTGGCCCCTCTTATAAAATCCATATTTGCTCCTGTACTGTATTACATCTTTTTTTTCTGCTCCATACCTGCTGTCCTTTAAGGCCGGGTACACCGATGTTTCCTGGCTCCCCCTAGGAAATAATAATTGGACAATGTATTATTTGAAGAAGGCTTTAAAGAGCAGTATGCAAGCAGCAAAAATTGCAAGACATCCACTTTCACTTTTTCAATTAGATTTTTTGGGGCGGATTAAAAAAAGACTTACTTTTTCTCCTTTCTGTCCAATCCCAGGCTCCCCTTTCGTTCCCTTTTGCTGCTGAGTTTGTGATATGACACCTGGGAGGAGATTAGCTGGCAGTTCTCCAAGGGTAGGGCACGGAGAACAAGATTCTCCCTAAAGCACACCGAACGTATATCATTTTAAAATAAACATCTTACATTGTGCAAGTAAAAATAAATACTTGTATACAATATAATTTTATTAACATCTATCAAATAGGAAAATGTACAAGTGCGACTATTATTTACATTTTGCTGCTACAGGTTTTTATGAGCTGTTCACATGTTTAACCTGAAATGATTTTCCAATCCTTTTTAACAAATAACAATCAATCAGATAGAAAGCCTTTTTAAACAATCACTATTATGAGTCCCAGGAACTTCAATAGGGCCATTCCATCAGACAAATATGCTATTATTTACATGATATAAACTAAGCTTAGGCCTTAGATCTGTTGCAGTTGTCCTGCTACCTTTACTTTATTTTAACATGTTTTGCAGCATCTAACGGTTTTCTTACAGTGTTGCAATTAATTTATCTTCATAATACTTTTGAAAACATTCTACATCGGTGCTGCAGAAAAGCACAGACTGGGGATGTAGTGTTAAAGAAAATGTGCAGCACTTATTTCTTTGTACACACCTGTAGCAACTGAAGATTAACAAAGTAAATAATGGTCTTATCTAATCAGAGGATCTTTTACAGGTTTGCCATGTCCCTAAATGACTTTCAGCAATTTTCCAATGTTGTAATTTCTTCTGTCAACAATGGCTTTCTTTTGCCGCGCTTCAACAAAGACTGGATTTGTAAAGTGTACTTCTGACTGATATTTCCACCTGAGCTGTGGCTCCTGAAAAATTGCCATGGGTTTCTTGAGGGTTGCCATGGGAAACTGATTGAGCTGGATTTTGTTTTGGCATAAGATGGATAAGACTGTATCTGAATGTATTTCATATGATTTAAATTTCTGTTTTTCATTTAGATCATCCTTCCCTTTCCTTTAACTATACAATTTAATGCTACATTGTGTTAGTTTAACAAATACATTGAAGTTTGTAATGTAAAAAAAATGTGCATGACATGTATATCTAAAATATCTAGCGCTATTGTAGCACTTTTTTATGGAATATGCAAAACAATTATAAAAGTGATAATAAAGACTAGAACTCTGACAGGTCTATTACCAGGATTTGTTACAAAGCTTTTCTACGCAATTAGGTAAATAAACAGAGTAGTCCGTAAAGCAGAAGAATGACACTACTGTAACCTTTTCTCCTTTGGCGCCATCTGATCCTGGTTCTCCCTGCCAAAAGATAGAAAAAACACAGACATCCAAATTAAACCCCAGCTCATCCTGCCAAGCTCATTCGGAGGGAGATCTTGTATCTGAACAAAGCACTGTAATTCTTCTAGTCAATGCAGTTAGGCAGATGTTATTAAAGTGTTAGTGTGGGTGCAGAGTGGAGTGGTTGTGTGGTCTCAAGCTGACTGGCTTCCATTGTTGTAGACCTGCATGACTTATGAGGCTCCTAATGTAGGAGTTTGAGTGGACTTTTTTGCATTTGTGCAGTTTGGTTCAGCTAATTTTGCCCGAATCTGCTCAGGGAAAGAGTTTTACATACAGTGCTGATGTTAGCATATCTGAGGAATGCAGATGAGAGTGTATTGGTCAAACTCAAGCAGAATATGAATTAACTACAAATTTAAATGAATAAGTAGAAAACGTCATACCTTCTGTCCTGCTTTGCCATCTGCACCTTCAAGACCCTGATAAGAAAAAGGGAAGTTAAAACAGTTTATCAAATTTTAAGATGTCTTTAGAAGGGCCCTTGAACAGATTTTCTTTAATACGGTAGTTATATTTTTTTAAAAATGTTAATATATGTATTTATGTAGAATTTTAACTGGGTCATGGTTAGGTTTAGTTATTGGGTTGGGTATTTACTGGCAACGATGTGGTAGAGTCAGATTTAGCCAATAAAAAGCAACAAAATAACTGGAAGGCAATGCAAAACATAAAGACAAAAGAACCTAACGTCTGTCTAAATGGGTTGAGTGTTCTGTTATGCTCTTAAAACTATAGCCAGTTTGGTTAAAGCAGCTTTTTCCATTTAAATAAGTTAATCTAAAAACTGCTTTGGATTCTTTCACATTATGTAGTCTGATTTAGCTTTTTTTGATGACCTAAAGCATTATAACACAAACAAGCAAGCAACCTAGAACTCTTTTAAGGCACAAATACATTTTCACAGCACTTTACCTCTCTTCGCTTTACCTCCTTCTCTCTCTACCCTAACCAGGTATGACAGATTGATGCTGGCACTATTGGAAATCGTTGCACAGAGAATCTCATAAGGCCAAAGATTTATATTCCATCACCCCTCCTCCACAAATCATTCCCTATTTCACCTGCTAGAGAATGTGGGAGTTATAAAAGGTAAAAGTTGGCAGCATGTAGTACAATTTGGACTCACTAGAGAGACAGAACGCAAGACCCTTGCCTTGGTGACTAAACTTTTGACAGCATATCAAGTCTTCTTCCCTTAAACTGTTTCAGCGCTGCAAGAATTACAGGGGCAAATACAATACCAAGGTAGAAGTAAATGCTGTGCTTTTCCTCAAAACGATAAGAAAGATTAAATATATATGCTATCACACGAGCGCTCAGGGTTCAATTGTCAGCTACAACTCATACCCTATCTAAAACTCTAATAAAACATGCAGCAAGATCATAAAAATGTAAAACTGAACATTCTGGCAGGTGCGGAATACATTACAGAGCAGTCAAACTGATGCATTTACAGGGAGTCCTCTCTCTCCTATCCCTGGTAATCCAGGCTCTCCTTTAGGGCCGGGCTTCCCCTGCAGGGCTACAGTGTTGGCAATGTCCCCGGACAGCACTGGGCATACTTCACATGGATCACCCTGAAGATTTATCACAATTTTGATACAGAAAATGTTGATTAGACTGCACAGAAATACGCAGATAAAAAGATTAAGAACGGCGCTTATGTGGTATTAAACCTTCTCTCCTTTTGAACCTGATGGGCCTCTTGGTCCCTAGGAAAACAACAGAATCCCCGTCAAACACTCATGTATCAGTTCACAATTCCTGTACAGTCTGTTAGCAGCTGAGGCATGCATTACTGAATATCAATCAATGTTCAGAAGAGTCTCTCACTGGATCTCCTGGCAATCCATCTTCTCCTTTAGGACCTCTGTCTCCCTATAGATTGAAACCTAAAAATTACTGCCAAACACCAAACATAGATTGAAAATGTCAGAGAAATCTGAAAACCCTAGTTCCAAGAGCGGGAAAATTTCAGTTATGGATGATTCTGCAAGCCTTCTTCAATTGGGTTTGCCCTCTAAGCATTATTATATTTTATTAAAACTAAGTATATATATATATATATATATATATATATATATATATATATATATATATATATATATATATATATATATATATATATATATATATATATATATATATATATATCAGAGATGGCAAAAGTACTCACTTTCCGTACTTGAGTAAAAGTACAGATACTTGTGTTAAAAAATACTCTGGTAAAAGTGGAAGTACTGATTAAACTTCTTTACTCAAGTAAAAGTAACAAAGTGCAGGCTTGTAAATTTACTTAAAGTATAAAAGTAAAAGTAGAAACCACTTTTTTCATGCCGTTGCCTACATTTTAAAAGGATGTCTGCCAATAGGACTAGATCTCCGTTGTGTTCATTTTCAATCATCTCGTTGTCCATGCTACTATGCTAACGCCACCGCCACCAAGCTGCAATGATTTACCGGCAATGAATACCGCCGAATCTGTCGATTCATCTTGTAGTGGTGCGTCAAATGCAACGTAGATTCCCATCCAATTAGATTGAATTTGGTATTGATGACGTGAAAAATAATAACGGTAACTCCATTGAAATGATTCAAAACTAAAGTAACGAGCCAATTTTTTTAAATGTAAGGAGTAGAAAGTACAGATATTTGTGTAAAAATGTAAGGAGTAGAAGTAAAAAGTCGCCATAAAAATAAGTAGTAAAGTAAAGTAAAAAATATCAGAAAAATCTACTTGAGTACAGAAACGAAGTATTTGTACTTCGTTAATTCCCATCTCTGATATATATATATATATATATATATATATATATATATATATATATATATATATATATATATATATATCCGAGTAGGACTAAAGTAAAAGACTGTGTCAAATTGACAAACTGCAATGTTTATATTTTCTTTTCTGCTTGTGTAAATAACTACATAGATTTTTTTTTTGTTTTTGTTTTGTGAACTCCTCCTTTTCATAAATTATTGTTACACTTCAGGTATTGTGGCAGACACCAGACTTTTTAGTAATTTGCTATCCAAAACTGTAAAGAGACTTTGTATCCAGTGATACTGATACTGCATGATTATGTTTTTTTTTTTTTTTTTTTTTTCCATTGCACTTCTACATAAATACATTTATTCTATATTATAACCCTCACTTTTGGAGCAGCCTTTGCCTTGTGACTTGCTCTCACGTTGGTGCCTCAGCAAAGCTTCCTTTTATGATTTATGTTTCAATGGTTATTTGAAATCCCTGAAATCATTGTTAATGTCACACTCTTAAAACTCTTATTTTGAAATAGAAAGGAAGCAGTTCTTAAGTTGCCCAATTGTGTTGTCAGGGTGAAACAGAAGGACTGGTTGTTGGTATTTTGTTATGTTTTCAAACTTATTTTTGATATGAAGCATTTTTTTCTGTTCCCAGAGAGAACAAAAAGCTTGACTTAGTAACATAAAAAAATATATTTAAACTCAGTAAAAATATAACTGTACAGGCCAACTACACTGAAATGAGCAGAAGAAAGCCCTGCAAAAATAAAGGGCTGTTTATGCATCTTGATTTATGTTTTTTATTTCTCAGCTGGGGCCATGGCAATATAAATTTTTTGAAGGGATACTCTGTGGCTCTTGCTTCCCAAAGAGTCCATTCCTCTTGATTAATAGTATTGTCATACTACTAAAACTCCACTCTCTGTTACCCACAACATCTCTCACAACACTGCATTCTCCAAGCATAACCAAACAGACAAGTGCTTGAACTGGACAAGGTAATGTAAGTTCAACTGAGATCTCACTAGCTTTTTCTTAAATATTTTTTTTTACATTGAAAGACTAGGGATATCATGTCACATTTATATCCATACAATCAACTAACTGTGTCAGAATTAAGAAAGCTGCAGCAATGTGAAGATTTACAGCATGCAAATCTTGGCTTTAACCTTAGTTGTAGTATTAATTATTCGTAAATACCAAGCTGCTTTAGCAGGGACAGTTGGAGTTTCTCCTGCAACCAAAAGGTTGGTGGTTTAAGCCCTGGTCCTGGCTTCTAATGTTGTCAAAGTGACTCATTTTTATTGGTTTTCTAGTTTACCAATATAGATTGATTAAAAACCCTACAAACTTAGATTGGTTGTTTTAACTAAAAGATTAGTTGGACAGATAACAACCACTTACCATTGGTAAATTCATCCATTCTGTTTTTAGAATGAAGAATCATATGTGAAAATAAAACAGGGTGTGTGCTTGAATGCCAAAATAAGGTAAATGAAAATTCAGTAGCCAACTTTTAATTATAATGATCACAGCAGCCATGGCTAATATGTTCAGCTACTGCAGACAAAGAAAAAGCAGCATATTCTGGTGTACTGGTGTGAAATGGTTTAGCTTTTATCATGTGACAACATCAGTTGAGTGATCAGGGGAAAGGCCTGACCAACTTCAAATGAATTCCACAGTCTGTTCTGCAGTTCACTAATTTGGTTATGTAACAGATGTAAAGTGCTCAGCTGTGACCTAGATATAAAGCCAACATATTTCTGTTTCTTTCTGATTCAAGCACTCACAGTTTAAATTGAGTTTCTAGAAGTAGTTTATGAGGATTTAGCTTCACTTTAGCCGCTCCTCCCCTAGCCAGTTTGTATTCCCTTACATTTCAGTTGATTCTGACACAACTGTTCTTAGACATGAAATTTCCTTCTGTCTTTTAGCTCCTCCTTAATCTGCAGTCTCTTCAGTCCTTATAAGCCAAAAAAGGCTCATTATGTTATTAAGTTGATGTTTATGTTATATTCCATGTTCAGTGTAGTTTAAACTGTAGACTAACTGGGAGAGATGTTGCAATGAAATCAAAGGTTTCATTTTTACAGCTCCAACCGGCCCTTTTAAAGACTTGATAATGCCAAGAGTACACAATAAAAAAGTGAGTTTAACAAGTGATCTGCACTTTTGTTGCTAACCATGAATAGTTTAAGAAAGTTTAACTTTCATTTATATTATTTTGTTAAAAGTGATTCTAGGTGTTCTTTCCCTCTGTAAGTAAATATATAAAAAATACTTTATGAAAATACATAATGCCAATTTTTTCTTCAGACAATGTTAAAAGAAACAACTTACCTTTTCACCGCCAGGTTCACCAGGAGGACCCTATCAGGTAAGACAAATGATACAGTTTAATATTGAGGACGTTTGATTTCTTTACTGAATCTTGGTTAGTGGAAAGGTCTCTTACTGGTAGACCAGGTTTTCCAACTCCTGGTGGACCTGGTAATCCGGGCTTCCCTGGCTCCCCAGCTAACCCTTCAGGACCCACCATACCCGGCTTGCCCTGGCAAAAATGTTTGCCACAGGTTCCATCAAATTCAAACTGAGCTGAATGAATGTGATAGACAGGCTGATGACAGAAAGTGTTAAACTTAAGATAGACAAACCTTCTGTCCCTTGGGGCCAACTACACAGATAGACCCTTGTCGACCCTGGAAAATGGTGACAGACAGAGAGGAAATTAACACAGCATTGTCCTTAGAAGAATAAAAACAATCCTTAATGTTTCTATAAAGAAATCCAAAGCTTGTCTCTTTACAAAAATGTATATGTGTAAATATCTCTAATATATATATATCTACATCTTTCACAAGGAGAAAATTAGAAAGGGTATCTGAAAGCCTGTGAGAGGAATAATCTTGAGTGGTGCATATGATATTTTCTGCCAGCCTGATTCAAGTCACATCAATGAGCACATTCATATTCAGAATGTCAGATGGATAGAGGGAGTAAAAAAATAAAAATAAAAAAAATAATAGAAAATCTATTCTCCACCAAATCCATCTGGGTACAACAAGCACTTAGCCTGGAAAGCAGCTAAATGTGAATACATCTGATGCCAAAAAACTGCTGGAATCCCTTAAAGCCTGTGAAGGCTGTAATTTGTTCCTCAAAGTTTTCATGCATTCACGAGCTCATTGCACCGTTCAAGGAAAGATTAAAAGGTTTAAGTCTTCCTGAATAGATGGCTGCCTGTGTAAGAGACAAACGGCCAAGTCAATGAAGCAGCATTGATTGTGCAAGCTTTGTTGCTCTAGCCTAATCTAACAGGCATTAACAGGTTGACTTAACGCAACAGGAGCGGGCAGATATCAATGGGAGTCTGAGTTTAAAGAGTGGCACCATGGGTTTACTGAATATCTGCTTAGGCCTGATAAAAGTAACCACATAACAGAATGTGAGTTTATGTCCAGGAGATGTACTCTCTTATTTGTATTACTGAAAACTTATGTTTTTTAACATCACTGTCTGACAGCTCTAGCTGTTTTGAAGACAAAAAAACACAAAACACCTACATCCTTCCCGGGAGTTCCTGTCAGACCCTGTGGACCGATCTCTCCTTTCTGACCTTTTTCGCCCTACACAAAGACACCAACAGCATGAGAGGTTAGAATCTAATTGGTTGATCATTAGAGGGGCTTTGTCTTGATTATTAATGAACAAAAATTTCTCCGACTACTCACCTTGTACCCAGTTGCCTGACCCCAGTTGGAAGGCACTCCCTATGGAGGCAATCAGCAGAGATAAGGCAAAGATCAATGATTAGACTCTGAAGAAGACACAATAATTTACAAAAACACACACAATCTGAAGAATGGGAAACGCAGGCATTAGCCTGCATGGACCAACACCAGGAGGCCAATCCTACATTTACATAAACCAAATCTAAGAAAAAGAGGATAGAATTTTAAAAACTAGATCAACTACCTTATTTTTTGTTATTATAACCACATATTTTATTTGATAGCGGTGAATAATAAGAAAGAAAAACTATGTTTATTCAAAAAAAGTATGGACAAAAAATGGAAGGAAATTGACACTTTAAGATTGTGCCATGTATAACTCTGAGCTTTTTTAATCAGCCAAACAACTTTAAATATATATCCAGAGCTACGTAGGGGCTAGATTCACAGTAAAACAAGTGGATATCTGTAGTTGCAACATGTAAAAAATGTTCAAGAGGTATAGATAGTTTTACAATTTATACATGTATTGCAAAGATTAGTCATTTGCAGCTTATGGTTTAACTTGCAAGTCTCCACATCTACAGTATATTCTTGCAAACAAATACATGCTAAATAAATCATTACTGGTAAACAACTATACAAAGAGGATAGAGCATAATTAATTCTATGGCTGAATGCCTGAAAATGTGGCTGTGAATAAAAAATCAACCTAAAAATGCTGGAAGGGGTTAGCTCGGTTGGAAAGCACAGGGACATGTTGCTGCAACCTGTAGCTGAAACTCTGGCACTCACCGACTCGCCTTTCTCACCCTTCTGGCCCTTGGGTCCGTCTCTGCACTGAGGTTGGAAACAATTAATTGGCAAATATTCACAGACCTCTTTTGGTAAAGAACAAAACAAGAAAAAAATACTGGCTCACTGATCTGTATGCCAGGACACATGGAAAACACGGCATACAGCAAGAGTGTGGGAAACAGCAAATGATTTACTTACTGGACCTGAACAGCCATCACCCTGAGACACAGACAAATGGAGGAGTGAGAAGTGGCTTGTGAGAGAGCTAAGGTATTAAAACACTGTAGTGTTCCTTCTTGGTCTAATAAGTTCAGCCTCAAATTGCTTCCATCAATTCCCATCAATTAATTGCCGTAATCTAAGTTTAAAATTACATCTACACCACATCCTTTATACTCACCCTGTCAGCTTTTTCTCCACTTAACCCAGCACCCAGGTTTACAATCTGCAACACACATAAATACACATCAACATACAGCTACCTCCTACATTAACATTTCTAACATCATCTCATAGAAATGAATTAAAGTAAAGATCAGAGATCCTTACATTCTCCTCCCTACTCTGGAGTAAACAACCACCACACTACAGACACAGAGAAAGAATGAATTAATTTTGTTTTATTTAATATGCACTTAAGGCGTTGGTGAGGAAATGAAGTTGTGTAGTTTCTGCTATCACCTGACAGTGGCACTCTTGCTTAAAGCTAAGTTCTGAAAATCTCACTGCTGCTATGTTATGCAGCTCAAAAGGATGAGTTATATGCAAGTGGGCATACGCGCATAGACATACAAGCATGCACACACACACACACAAACATCTCCCATGAGACCATGAGATCAATAGGAATGTCTGATTCCCAAAGCACAGGAGTGAGAAGACCAGCTGCTGCTGCAGGAGGGTGCAAACATGATCACAGTCACGTGCACACACCAAATAAGGAAAACAAATATAAATAACTGAAGCGTCTTTGGCGGAAGCAGGTAATTAAAGCTGAATTACCGCAGCCTGTGTTTCTGGGAGTCTGGCTTTCACACATCAGGAAGTTTGCAATATGCTGAAGTTGTGACTATGAGCTTGCCGAGTGGAGGGAGAGAGAGAACGCTTGTAAAACCACAGAGACAACGTGTAATTCTATCGCTTTCTTTTTTCCCCTCTTTCTCTCACAAACTACAGATCTATCAATGGCTGCTTTAACCAGCTGCAGTGACAACTCACTCTTTCCATGATCTCATCTATGGTCGTAAATGATTGAAAATAGGTACCAAAAATCCAAAAGTAAAAGTATTTGTCATGAATTTCCCTAATTTCTGTGTAAGATCATTAAAACAAGAATCTTTTATAAACTCTACTGCATGGTTTATGACTGCTGCCAATTATTGCATTATGACGTAAATACACACTAACATATCACCTACAAAAAAATGATAAAAAAGTTTGCATTAAAAAAAAATTAAAAACTTCTTGTTATTAAATATACTCGTAAGCCAAACATAGGGCAGCAACTGAAGGCATTAGGGCATCTAAAATTAAGACAAAGTTAAAATCAAATATATAAATGTGCAACAAAAGGGAATTGCTGTTAGTGTCTGCCTAACTTAGAAGGCTAAATGTATGCCCCAAAGAGCTGAAGCAATTCTAAAGGGAGCAGGGGGTCTAAGTCAGTATGAACGCAGTGCACCTAGTGCTTAATAGGTTTGCTATTATCCATAAGAGACATTAAACAATCCATGTTTAGTTGTTTCTTTTGTTAACTTTGTATACCAAAAACTGACCAATGATTTACTTCCTACAAACATTTCAAAAGAAGCAAAGTTACCATACTCCACACATATTTACTCACCTTTATACTTTTTTTAATTAATTTTTTACTTTTCTACAAACTGCAGCTGTAGTTCATGGTCAATAGATAACATTCACCAATCAAGGCAGCTAGAGAAGCATCAATACCAGATTTCTTCAAAGCATAGATGAGTAGAACTAGTCATATTTCAGAGTATAAGTATTAAACGAAAGCTTAGTCATAATAAAAAGTATTGGTGACTTTTCTTTGAAATGCTAAGCAGACAAATATAGATTTTACCTTGGATCTGGTAGAGCTGAGCTGCAGTAGAGAGGGTTTTTTTTCTGCATCAGGCAAGCTCTCTTTTAATGGCTGTAGCTACGGCAAACTTTTTGTTTTATTACAGTAACACCATCCTTGTCATAGAAGAGGTATCCAGAGTATCAGATTGTTTTTTTGATATAGGATTACTTGGCACTGGTATCAGGCCTGGTACTGGGACTGGTACACCTTATGACAGCCTAATATTTTTATGTGCTATATTACACATTTTTGAGGCACTCTGCCTAATTTTCTTTCATTGTTTTTTATATCTGAAAAGAAGATAATTTATAAAATGAAAGTAAGTTCATTGTCTTACATCATTTTGTTTGGTTAAGAGGCTATCAAATAACTTAACATTTAATTGATGATGTTTCTGTCAGGTTCACCAGAAACTCCTCAGCTTTCATTAGACACAGTAAGTAAGCAGCTGACCGCCTTAAGCAGCTTTTTGCAAGACAACATGGCTAAATGATACATTTGTCCTCAATAAAAACTTTTCAGTAACTTCCTGTTAAACCAAAAGTGCTATAATAAAATGTGAAGAAAAGTGTTTGTTTTTTTTTGCTGCTAAGTGAAAGACTAGGGCACTAACTCATGTACTGGTGGTCGAGCATTACGACCTTCTATTGATAGGGATTCCTGCAGCATCACAGTATGGACATAGGTCCATGACCTTTGAGGTCATGACCACGACTTGTGAGAATGATCCACTTCTGAACCTCACATTTGCAACCGCATTAAAATAATAGAGGTGATATAAAAATAAAAATAAAAACTCTGTATTTAGCTGTATATAACTCTGTATTTTAGTGTAAAGTTTTGGAATAATTTGTGGCTTTTGAACCGATTCATAGTGGGAAAAAAAAGAGAAACGGTGGAGGCAAATATTTTGATAATGTAAGCAGTACGTCAAGGTGGTATCAGAACCTGCAGGCACACTTAAAACAAAGCAATCATAAAAGCCTTTATGTCCCATCTGCAGCTCATTCAGTAAACTTAGCGGGTGTTAACATCATAGTGATAGATGTATTAAGGTGGGGAGGTTTTTTTGATGTATTCTAATCTTTGTCCTTCTGCTCTAATTCTTATTTTAGCTAGGGCCTTTCTTAGACATGGGAATTTGATATTGGTTTAGCATTGAAGTAACTGTCAAATACTCAGAGAATTTATTATGCTCTTTGACAGATATATTATAAAAAAGTAGTTTCTATGGAAAATTTCTATATATACAATTTTCTCTCAGAACTGAACTTATGGTGAGCTTTGGGATTGTGAATTCCGTAAAAATAGGAAGGACCTCTCAAAATACCAACATAGAACAACAGGCATCAGATTGTTGCTTTGTTAGAATCCCCTGGACACAATGACATTGTTTTGCAGACTTTAAGTTGGCTGTACATATTTGACAATCAGCAACACGGAATGCGAAAAAGATGGGGTGATGAAGGTTGAAAACTGTGCGCCCTTTGACTAGAAAAAAAAGTGATTTCAAGTGGATAAGTTAATACTGCAATCATAACTTGGTGAGCTATCTCAGCCTTTATACTTGACAGATGTAAGCATCTCTTTGACATGTTTGGAGTCCTGTTCACGTCAGGCAGTGCAGCAGACATTGAGGATCACATACTGTCATCTGCCAAAACACAGACCTTGGATAGGAGTCTTTCAGATGAACTGTTTCACTCCAGGGCTTTCATTATATCTCAAGAACAGAAAATATTTCTTTAAAAAACATCTGACAACTGTGCTTGATTGTCAATTACAGTCAATGTTCCCCATTGTAAACATTGCGTTAACACTGACCCTGTCACTGGCTGTCAGCAACCGCCAGAGTAAACAATAATTTTCATGAATTGCCACAATTGAAAACAAATTAAGGCAAGGATGACTCAGCCTGTCACTCATGGCCATTGCTCTCGTGGTTCTTGAGCTTATCATCAACGATACAATCAAAGAGCTTTCTTCAATGAAAGGCAGAAATAAAGCAGTTTACATTTGCTTTCGGCCCATTCGCCTTCTTTTCATTTCAAAACCTTTTTAACATTTTCACTAAATGTTGAGTGGAATTGAAAAGAAAAATATTCTCCAATGTCATTTTACATTGGTCACTGGCATTCAGAGTGACTGATCATGTAAAGGCAAAACATAATTATTCAACTATGATGGCTGGCTTTTTTTTTTATCTTTGACACTTTATTGAAGCTTTTAGTTACAATTAGCAATTTGCTTTAAAGTCAAGAAGCCCTAGAGCCTTAAAACCTTACAATTGTTAGATTCCCTCTAAAATTTTGATGTATTCATTATAAACGTGTGTAACCGTATAAACCGTTGTCAGGCACATGTTTGTCCAGCGTTTTGTGGGTTGTCTTAAATGCAGCACCATCCTCACTGTCTTTGTATGTTTAGGTAATTAATTGGCTATTTAACTGTTAGCAGTGTCTTTTAAAGCTGACCAGATAGTGTCGGCTTTTGAATATTTATTAGTGTGAAACTCACACGTTGAAGTTGATTATTAGCAAACAGTTTTAGATGTAATATTTTTGAGCGTTTTTAAACCAACAGATGTGCATAACTTGGCACCTTGTTGGCACAGTATTGATAGACATCCTCTATTTGTAGTGTATATTTAAGATCTAAGTCACCTACAAATGTGTTCTTTCAACTGTAATAAAAGCATGCTCTGATAACATTGTCATACAGACTGGTCTTGATTAACATTTGTATGGCCTGGATTTGTTGTATCAGGTTCGTTTTATCTTTGATTTCATTATAACATGACTTTCTCCAGCTATTTCCCTCATGTTTCAATAAATCAAGGGTATAGTTTAGGATTGAACAGTGATCGTCTCTTGAGAAAGGAAACACATTCTGGGATTATAACCCTGGAATTAGCCTTTTTTTCTGCAGATTGATGGAGCTAAGCCTTTTCACTCACATAACCACAAAGCACAGATGTAGAGGGAAAAGCATAGAAGAATAGCTGATGAGGCATGACATGAACACTGGTGGAAATTGGCTTCTGACTGAGCGTTGGGATTGTGTAGTAGAAGTGAAATTCTCAACATATTCAGCCCATTTATTAACTCAATCACATTCATTTGTGAGCCGGCTCAGGGTTAAAATAGTTGAGGCTGTGCAACATCCAAGTTTCTAAATGTCTGGCACAAGATGGATAAATTACACGTATTGCAATAAAAAAAAAAGAAGCAAAAAAAATATATCTTCTAATCTAACCAAATTCAATTAGTTTTTTTCTTCCCCATGGTTAGAGTGAGTAGTGTGCTCCAACCTAGATGATGTCCTACAATCACTAAGTCAGGAGAAGAAGCCTGATACATTAGCAAGCACACACTGAAGCAACATAATAGAGTGTCTGGAGTTTTGTATTCTATTTGTGAACTGAGCATGCTTATTGTAGGTGAATGAAAAAAATTAATAGGCAGAAGGAACTCCCCAACTGAGACTAGTTGAATAATGAGGCGTAACTCAGCTTCTCAGTCAGTCAGCAAGTGTTCTAAAAGGCAGCAGGAGATGGAGTCAAATGCACAACATGCTTAGCCTGCGCATTGTCCTCTTGTTTTAATTTAAACAGCACATGTAGCTCCCTTGACTCGGCTATGGATACAGGAATAGGCTTAATTCAAAGTGATGTTCAAGCTGAACTGAAAAAAATTTTTTTTTTTAAGACTGCAGAAGGAAGCACATTCTGGGAACATGCTCGTTTGCCTTTTGAACTACAGGGTTCACAAAGCTGTCTTCGCTTCAGCCAGTTGTCCCAATGGTCTTCATTAAACATGCAGCAATGTTCAATCACGTGTGTGAGAGTGGGTGTGAATCGTGAGGCTTACTTTTTCTGCAAGATCCTTGGATGCAAAGATATCCTGATGGCGAAAAGAAAAAAAAAAGAAAATAACAACGGTCATTACATGAAATTTTTATATCATAGTGAGGCTGTTGCAGCCCATCCCTTTAAATCTTACATCATTTAATAAACATTGCATCAGATAAACAATAGGAGAAAATAAATGGAGGCCCTTTTGGTTGCACGTACAGGTCATTAGCGGTATCCTTTACTGTATTTTTCTTTAAAAGATAAAAGAGGATGAGAAAATGAGGAATATGAAACACTGCATTTTATAAACCTGAAGGTAGATAAAGACTCCTGCTGTGTGCAGAATAGCAAACTGATTTGAAAAACAACAGTCAACAAGGGGGTAGAGGAAGTAAGGAGAAGTACAGTGAAAGCAATTTGCTCAAGACAGCAAGTTAAGAGGGAAAAAAATAAGAGCTGTGGCATGGGGAAGAAGGGGAAAAAGCCCTTTTTACAGGTAGTGCTGGACTTCATACAACTCAAGTGGTCACACAGAAGGCTTTGGAGGAAAAATAGGCACAAAGAAGAGTTTAGATCTTTTGAAGCCTGGATGACCTTTCAGGAGGGAACTGGGTTGAAAGCAAGAACAGGAATAATAAAAAAAAGAGGCGCACAGTGCAGAAAGATAAGAAACGCTATGGGTGAGATTTGTCATATCTCAGAAAGGCAGTAACTGCTTTGACCCCCTACACACAGGCAAGCAATCTGCACAGAACCCTGTACAAAACCTTATTTGATATTAGTGGTAAAGAAAGGTTGTTTGACATCATCAGAGGATGGGGTTTGGCGGCAAGCTTTAGAGCAGTCATTTATGCCTCTTGTATCCTGTTCTTCTATAGCGATAAAGATATATTTTACAAAATTAAAACTATCATTTTTGGTTTTAAAAATATGCCTAGTGTTTTCAGCTACTCGTGCATGATATCGGTATATTTCTTTTTAGACTGAAACATTAAAATGTTCACAAACAGATTTAATAAACAAATTAAGAAAAAAAAGCTAGAACTGGAACACGTGGTTATCATGTGAATCTAAAAAGGCCAAAAAATAGTAAAAGGTTTTACATTGCAATATCACAAATACACAAAAATGAAATTTTAAAATGGAAAATTGCCTTTTATATAAGACACATTAATATAAAGCATTTATATATCATACTCAAAAATTATCTGGGATTATATATGATTCCAGTTGATATTTTGATCTCAGTTGCAGAGTAAGATAGATATATACACACACACACACACTCTGGACCTATACTCATATATAGCACTTTTTTAAGGTCAGGGGACGTAGTAAGACTGTGCAGACTTATCATTTGTGCATGAGAAAGGTATCTTTTGTTGGGAATTAGGCATTGCTTCTAGTAAAGGATAAAAAAGAAAAAAAAAGTCAGAAAAAAAATGACAGAATTCACTAATAGGTTTAAATGGTACCTTCTTTTATAGAAAGTGTTAAAATGTAAAAGGAATTTCACTTTTTGCTTTCTTTTTAAAGTAATAATCGATAAAATCTTGGTAAAGGACTTGGAGATTTACTATGTAGATCGGGGGTCTTAGACTAAATTCCTCAAGGCTAAGTCTCCTGCTACATTTAGATGTGTGCCGTGCCCTGCTACACACATGAAACAAATAGCTAGTATCATGTTAGCATCAGTCAAGCTCTGCCAATGAGCACAAATTGTAGTCAGGTGTGTTGAAACAGGGACACATGTAAAAGTTTCAGGAAACCGACCCTTAAGGATATGAGTTTGAGACCACAGATGAAGAGGCTCTCTTACCACAAAAACAAATACTGTAATATGATAAAATCACATCTATCAAAAACAGCAATGTTTTTCTTCATGTTGAGTTATATTCAATACACAAATAAGTAACAATTATTATGTATGATGAAGTGCAGTAACAGAGCAAGAACGTTTTGAATGAACATGAAAATAAGCCACTGAGAGGTTAAAAACGAGGCATTAAAATGGTTAAAATGCGCCATGATTTAGAAACAACTGCAAACTTCTTAGATCAGCTAACACTAGCAACAAAGGCTTTTCTGCCACTTATTACAGAAAATTATGAAGCGTTTTTTTTTTATAATTTCTGTTTCTGTCATTCCACATGACTCGAATCATTTTCTAATTTGTGAGGATTTATTTGCATGTGTGAAATACTGAGAGAGCTGCCAACATTTGTTTTGCTTAAGTATTAATTTCTGTGTTTATATCTCTTAATCTTGATCATTGTGTGTTTAAAGAACACTGCTTCTGAAAAATGCAAATTGGTAAGGACAAGGTAAAGCCAAAGTGTGTTGGCGATCATGATGAGTACTATCTGAGTACTACAGGCTGCAAATGTAAACACATTGATAAGTTTTGGGTTTTAAAAAGGAGACCTTTAGCCATACGCTATAGCTTTTGCTTTTCATAGTTCTTTTGTGAAAAGACATTGTCTCAACTTGACTTGTATCACCCAAAGAATGCTGCATAATGACGTACATAAAGCTGAAGACTGCCTAGATTTACTGTAGCACAGCAGTCAAGAGTTCCTTTCTTATGTAGGATAAGCCTAGCTAGATAGAGCTGGTAGAGCTTGATTTTAAAGGTGGGACTAACAGGGTCCGTGTCATCAGGTTAGAACCAATCAGATAAATATGGATGTGACACAGAAACTCCAAGCCACATACTGTTTTTGGAATTTTGTAGTCTGTGAAACATGTCAAGCTAAAAAAAACAACAAATACATCCTTTTTAAAAAGAAATGGACACAAATGCTTCATTTTTGAGGTTTTTAAACTTAGATTAATCTAACTTTAGACATCATAAAGAGTATCATTAAACATTGATTTGTTGCGGTCGCCATCTTGCTTTTATTCTAGTAGAAAGGCGCTAAAAGTGATGCATTGTAAAGTCCCGCCTCCTGCCCATGTTTGGTTTGGTCAGATCTGGTCGGAGTAAATGCCAGTTTACCGGTTTTTATTCTGGCTCGCCAAGGCTAACCTTGAATAGCGTTGTTATTGTTGGCCCTGTCAAAGGGGAAGAGAGAGGAGCTAGAAACATGAAGTCAGGGCTAAAATTAGTGTGTTTGTAAGACACTACAGTATGAGGAGTACATTTGAATGTTGTAGGAATACTTTATGCTATGCTCTGGAGCGTACACGCTTCGCCTATGAGAAAAAGGAGCAGCGCATGAACCGAACGCAACACACGAAAATCGAACCAAGACAGTCGAACCGAATGGTTCGGACGGTTTTCATAAACCGTTCCATCCCTAATACATAACCTAAAAGGCCGGGGAAAGTAAGATTGTAACAACTTTATTGTCATTTCATTTAGTTTTTGTGACATAATAATAATAGCTTGCACAATCAGTTCATGTTTGATATAGATATTAATGAAGCGTCTATTGTTTTACTTGCTCCATCCATTTAGGTTTACAGATTTTCAGGCTGAGTAACATTTTGAAACAGCAGAGCAGTAAAACTGCAATTATTCTCAGAAACAAGAGCAAGTGACATTGAAAGATGAGCTAGAGAAAGAAACATGAGATGTTGTGTCTAGCTGAGAGCATCAATGGAATTGATTATTATGTCCTGGAATCCTGCAGAACTGGAGCTGCAAGTTAACACCACAGAGTACAAACACAAGTCTTGATGAATAAATAACAGATTTAGGTCCATCCTGTTTAATATGTATGATGTCATAAAGTGAAAAAAGAGACTGTAAAAGGGAGAACTTTGAGTTATTGTTGAAGCAATCCTATAATACTCCAAAGTAACATGAAGTCTACATCGGGGTTTTATTTCAAGACGGAATAACTGTGCTTCTTGACAAACAGCCCAGAGAAAGTTTTTCCATTGAAGCATCTGAGAAAGATCAGTCTGAATAATAACGTCTGTATTTCATTTGTTGTGCATTGCTAAAGGACATTTTTTACTCTGACTAGTTGAAAAACATTAATCGTTCATTGAAATTCAATTTAGGAGTATTACAAATGAAACTGCACCGCACCGCATTTTTTATAGCCTTGTGTTTTAACATCAAATTGCATTTTAAAATGAGAATCAGCATTTTACCTTCACACGTTGATAATATAATTCCCTTGAACAATGCTTCTTTTAATGTTAATGTAATGTAGAAATCAATATCCTTGTTTCTAATGGCAAAAGATTCTTACTGAAGATGTCCTCAGTTTAAAATTTCAGCTTTTATTTTTCTCATACAGACATCACTGGTAATTGGTATGCACTGCCAGCAGGGATTTTCAGTCATTTTCACATAGAGAACCTCAATTTATTTTTGAATATCCCTTTGAAAGACATGGAAACTATTCATGATTTTTGTAAAAATACAAGCGAATATTATGAATGTTGGTTTACCTCATGAAATATGTTGCCAGATGGGCCAGATCTTCTGGATCATGGTTTGTGCTTCCATGATTTTATAACAAATGTGACATTGTATATTTAGCAAACCATAACAGGAGGATGATTTTTAAGTAGTCTTCTTTATGCTGTCATATCACTCCTTTCAAATAATTCAACATTAATTTGCAAAGTTTTGTCTTTTCAAGCATCCTCTTTTTGCAGACTTCAGATTCATCATTACTGAGGCTCTTTTTGATTAAAGTTATTTATTATTACAGCATACAGGTGCTTGGAAATGTACATACCCTCCCATTTCACATTAGTATTTTAAATTACACAAAACAGAAAAACTAATCTTAAAAGCAATTTAACTAAACTGTAATTTAATAAAATAAAACATAATTTTTCAATTATTAAACAAACATAATTCTTTAAAAAAATGAACCATCCTAGACAAATTGAAACCCTTCTCATAAACAGTGAATCAACATACCTGTTGACAAGTGCCGAAGTCTTACTAATAATTTTTTTGAACATTACAGAAACACCTGACTTCAGGGATTGACTCCCTGAAGGAGTTCAGGAGCTCCATCAGGCTTGTTTGCTTGTTTTATTTATTAATATATGCATATATCTGAATGTATAGACATATTTAAAATAAATGTCATGATTTTCAGTGTTTTAATTTAGTATTACTTTTGTGAATTTCAATGTATTTAATGCCATCTGATTTGTTTCTGCCTTTAATGGAAGGATATGTAAACTTTGTAGGACAACTGTATAACTATGCAGAGTTTGTCTGCTGAATTGTGTCCTCGATTGAGCCACCTATGGTGCTATGCTGTATTTACCTTTTCTTACATGGAAAGTACTATGAAAGAACTGCCTTTTGTATGTCTGCTTGTATCTTCTTGAGACCCCAGTCAGCCTTGGCAGAAGGCTGCTCAAACTGAGCCTGGGTTTTATGGAGGTTTCTTCCTATTATAGAGGAGATTTTACTCTCCACTATCATTACATGCATGCTCATGTGATGGATTGTTGTAGCACAATAATAACTGATACCTGCTGCAGCCATATGCTCATTCAGAAGGAGGGTGTCCTGCAAAGTCTAGGATTAAGAGCAATCAGCTGCTTTTCCTTGGATAAACAAACTTTTATCAATCTGACTGAAGAAAATTATGTGTTGTGAAATAAAATGTGTTGCACTGACTTCAATCTGTCATCATGGCTTCTTACAAAATTATTCAATGGACTTTGCCTACAGGCATATAACTTAAGGTGAGTTTACCCCATACATCATTATCTAAAATGTAGCAAACAATTTAAAGAGCTGAAGGGCTTAATTTCGATGAAGTAAGTGTAACCAGAGAGTTGTTATGGAATACAGTGCAGGAAATGAGAGCAGTGCCATTGAAGATTGTGCTCTATTGGGAAGGAGGGAGTAAGAGATTTTGTCTCATTTAGATCCAGATGGATAAGAATGGAAAGAAGATCTGAGTCATCTTCTTAAGGTGTCAAGGCTCAGAACAGGGGACCCAGCATTCAAGGCAGACAGACATTTACCTTTCAAAAGCGTTTAATTAAAAATGACGGATCAGCAATAACAGCAAGGACATCTAAGGCAGCAACCCCTGGTTTATTAGTTCAGTTCATGCCCAGAGAACAAGGTAGGATCCAGCCAGTCTGCCAACAAGATGCGGCTGGCGCTGCCCAGAGAGTCCCAGACATCACAGCCCGTGAGGACGGAAAACAAGCAGGAGCCAGACGAAGGAAGGCAATACAATAAAAAGGGCAAAGCCGGGGTCGAGGTCATGCTCAGGATTCAGAACTGAAGAGAAATCCAGGTCGGAGACAGGATGCAGCTCCTAATTTAGCAAACAGGCAGAATCCAGCAGGAGTCCAAAGACAGGTCAGGCAAACAGATCAGACAAAAACAGGCAGGTACAATGGTTGACAGGCGAAATAGGTCATGATCAGGTACTCAGAAAACACCAAGGTAACACTGGAACACTCTCGCCAATGGCTTGAGAATAATCTGGAACTTATGACTGGTTACACGGCTAGTTCAATAGAAGCAGGAGCAGGTGGATAAGATGAGTGGTAATCAGAAAACAGGCGGAGTTAGGCAGGTGAATGAAATTAGTAAATTAGTCAGTCATCATCGCCAAGATCCAGACATTGACATTGATTTTAATTTTTAGAGGGCAGGTTCTGTAGTATGGTGGGGGCAGAAACCGACTGGAAGTGTTCATAAAGATCCTTACAGTTTAGATGGAAGTGAAGTTTGTTGGTAACTGTTTTTTCAAGTATTTTAGAAATAAAAGGCAAGTTAGGTTATTGTAGTTGTCATGATCTAAACCAGATTTATTCAATGAAGGAGTGATTACTGCGGTGAAGAAATACCTTCAGACGTAATAGAACAATAAAAGTTATTGATGGCAGTAGAGGCTAGAGACAGGATTTTACCAGGACTGTTTGCATTATGAAAATGGACATTAGTATGCTCCACAGCAATAGGTCCAGCAACATGTTTTTGAGCAGAGGGCTTTTGCTACAAAATCTGATCAGTAATAGAAAGGTAAGTTGTGATGTAATCAGTAATATATATAACGTTCTGATCACCTAAAGTCTGTGTCTTTGTGATGAGCAGATGCATATTTTAGTTTTTTTTATAACTATGAATTTATGGCTGAATGTACAGTATTGAGCAACTCTAACTTTTGTTACCTATATATACATATATATATATATATATATATATATATATATATATATATATATATATATATATATATATATATATATATATATATATATATATATATATATATATATATATATACTGTTCTGTATTTGACAAGCAAGCAAGTGTTACATCTTTACTTCTCTGACTCATACAACTGTGGTTCCAGTTGACTTTAGTATTTTGTAAAGAGGCAGTTCTAATCAAAATTAAGTTTGAAATAATCAACATGGGTTTTGTGAAGAACCATGTTTATAATAACATTTAGTTTTTTTTTACTAAATGAAAGCATAACCATATTTTGTGTATGTTGGGAACAAGGAACCTACCTGGTTTAACATATTTTCATCCAGGTCGTTTTCAGCCGCTCTGCGACTCTTAGCTGCATCTGAAGGGCACTGAAAGTAAAGGACAAAAGCCCAATTTTAAAGCATACTTCCCACTCTATGAGACAGAATTACAAACAGTGTCATTCATTTCCATAAAAGGTCCCATATCATTCTAAATTTGAAAATAATAAATACAAACAAGAGGCCCCCCAGTGAATAACTTTTTGCCATTTAAGCTGGACAATTCTTTTTACATTAGAGAGCCTTTACCAAAACCCTCCTTATTCAGCTCTCCTCTGGACAAGTTGTTTTGGCTTTTCACACCCTTGTCCTCCTGAAAGTTATTTAGTTTTGATACAGTTAAGTTAGGAGTATCCGAGTATAAGTATCTATGCATGTTACACTTTCTGAATATAAATATATATTTTTTCACTATTCAAGTCCATGTTTTCTTTGCCCTCCACGTCTCAGAGGTCTATGGTTTTAGCACGTCAACATTTTAATTTGTTCTAGGGCAGGCTTTCTTAACCCTGGTTCTTGGGGCCCCATGTATTACATAATTTAGGTGTTTCCCTGCCCCTCAAAACCTAATGAAAAGGTGACTAACAAGCTTTTGCAGCATTTGATTGCTGCCGGGGAGATAATGCATTTGAATCAGCTGTGCTTGAGTGGAGACACATTCAAAACATTTAGGAAAATGGATGCTGGGGATTAGGGTTAAAAAACCCTGTTCTAGGGGGACTAGATTTTATTTCATATACCGCAAAATGGACAAAACAACTAACAGGCCATAATTACTTCTAAATTATTCAAATAAGGCATGTGGATAAAGGGGAAGACCGGAACAAATGCAGAACATCACCAATTTACAAAATTTAGTTGTCTACCATGCATCTGGTTTCTCAAAAAGTTCAGCTGTCCATTATTAACCACTGTTTACACTTGCTGCTTCAGCCCCTTAAATAAAATTAAGATGTTGATCGCAGGGAACCCTGCAGTTCACATACCCTGAGCTAAATTGTAACTTTGTTTTTCGAGCCCATACAATCAATATTACAGCCTGAAGTCCCCCCTGCAGACCAGTTAACCATTAAGCATTTGAAAGTGCATGGCCCCTGTCTGTTCCCCTTCCCTACCTGTATTTGTTGCTGAAAAGGCACAAACAGAAAAACAAGTAGACATGGAAACTCTTCCGATTTAAGTTGAAAAGGTTTATTGAAAGTAAAAGTGTTTCCACCGAGAAAACAAATTCCAGAAGGGGCTGATTGTCATTCTTCTCATACCTGAACAGACTCCTGTTCTATTGGTAATCAATATTTTTTCAATTATTTTTTACATTATTATTTGTAAATAATTGTTATTATCGTAATTCTATTATTTATTAGCCTGATAAACCAGACTAAATGAGAGATTGAATGTATAATTTAGTTTGGCCCTGATGAATGAGACATCGGAAGATTGTTGATGAGAACAACCCATTGTTTCTCAAACAATGTCTGTGCCTATTGGCCAATGCTCTTACCAATGAACGCAACTGACTGTTAGTAGTAAGCACGACAGAAAGCTAGAGGGGAAGTGTAAACAAACAGCCTGTCGGTAAAACGGCAAATACGTCCTTCCTAAAAATGAAATGAGCGTAGAGCCTCTTCCTGCTCACGTTTCAATGAAAACCCAAAGTCTAATCCTTCCAAAACTGATTCCAAAGCTGAGTCAAACGAGAACTGTTCAATAGTTGTTGCGATCTTCCTTGTTGTGCTTTCTCCAGCTTCACGCAGTTTTGTCGTCACGCCCTCAAACACCCCCGCTTTGCACCCAGAAATTCAAAACACATCTCTGCGTTGTGATTAGCCCGCCAGTTCTAGGGCCTGGGGCATTGATCGAGGCTAGACCACTCGCAGGCAAAAATGGTTTTGGTTGCTGGCGGGTGGGGCTAGTTTACTAGGCTAATTATGAATATCATTATTATCAAAATAAAAGCTTTATTATAACTGATTAAAAGCCACATTTTATATTCTAAGAAAGGTTTAATATTTCAAATTTAAAAATATTCTTTATATACGATATGAAATATCCGTTAGGTTATGCCCTAAACAATCATCGGGGGAGAGACTGCAGACTTAACAGTTGACTTAAACACAGTCAACAAACATTGTTCACAAGGAGGGTCAGCCACAAAAGGTCATTCCTAAAGAGGCTGGCTTTTCATTTACTGCTGTGTCTGCGAATATATTTACATGATGTATGCTGTGGGGGGGGGGGAAATACATGTAGACCAACTGTACCCATGAGGGGCCTGTATCACTTAGACTATTTAAAAGTTTATGAGGGATTCACAAGACACTGATTACAGATGGAATTATTGCTTTATAATACACTATTAGGTGTTCTACATGTGGTGAGGAGTAAAATAACTTGACTGCTGCTCAGAGGTCAAAAGTTTCCACTTGCAAGTTGCATCTGGGATGCAATGTCATATACTGACTGAGTATTCACCTTTCTTCTCTGCTAAATCTACCATTACCTTGTTCATGATCCGTCGGTTATAGTGTGTTTCTGGGTTTCACTTTACATCTCTGTTACTTTAGTTTCTTATCTACTTCTTAGTCCGTTCATTTTTTATACTATATTATGATGTTATGTTGTTTTATATCCTGCTTATCCCTGTCTGCCCTGTCAATCATTTTTCCTTAAGCCATAGGCAGCAGTCAATCCAGAAGATCCCATTTACTCCTTTCTCCCTTTTCTTAGCCTGTTTCCTGAACCTGTTCTCTGTTCTTTTTAAGCACTCACTTTGCCTTTGTTTGTCCCTGGGATCTTCCGCTCAGTTCCCCCCCATGTCTGGTTTTCATCCTAAGGCTGGTTTCAATCATACTATATTACATTTCCTTACTTTCATTCCTTGAAAAAATGTGCTGTGCATCAGTCCAGGGTTGCTGTGGGTAGGTTCTATCCATGCACCGGCTGTTATGAAAATTACTGAATCCCATTCACTCTTCCTGTGTGACTTCCTGTGTGGCTCATTGGATTTTTAGAAATTGTTTTGCTCCATCATCTGTCAGGTAAACACCCAGTCCATACGTGTGATGGATGTTAGAGGGGAGCCACCATCATGCACCACAGAGCCAGTGGGGATTTATAAATTAAGAGAAGAAAGTCTCTGTGAAGAAGCGGTATAGCTGGCTTCATGCATACTACCTTCTGTGTCCTTGCAAAATGTGCAAGATGTGTGTAGGATCAGTTCATCCATTGCTTCTTACAGTATTAAACTGTAATACAGTGGATCCATTTAACTCCGCAAAATATTATATTCTGTACAACTTGGTTGCCCCTACTAGCTCTGTGGTGCAGCATCATGACAGACAGCTCCCCTCCCTTGTCCATCAGAAATACAGATCAATGATGAAGTAAAACAACCAAATGTGTCAAACAGGAAGACGGACATAGGAAAAGAAAAAAATATTGAGAAATGTTCAAAATAAAAGGAGAAGCTGGCTGGATGCCTGGATGGATCCTACATGCAATCAATGGGAAATGCCGGCCTTGCATTATTAATTTAAAGCTTTCATTTTCACCATGTTCCTTCCAATTGTCCGTCCATTCCATGGTCCAGAATCCCACTACATGACAGCAGGTCCCAAACACAAGGAAAGGAAAGCAAAGGGCTTATGAAGAACAGAGAACAGGTGCAGGCAATAGGCTAAAAGAGGAATAGGAGCTATTGGTTGACTGATGGCTCTGGTAAAATAATTACAATTAGAAAATTAAAACAACATTGTTGGGAGCTGGAGAAGTTCCACCTTTCTCCAGCAGAGTCCGCCATGGATCCTCCTGAGCTGAGCCTTCGACACACCTGAGGCGCATCTCATCATCAGAGGATCCACACTATATAACCTGCCTTCAGACCTTGCCTCGACGCCGCAGTGCTAAATCCAGTTTGGTTAGCACCTAAGCCTAGTATCTTCTGAGAACCTTTGTTGCCATTGAATCCAGATTGGATTCTAACCCTTTGTCTCTGCTTTCAGGAATCCTGTTTTTCTCCTGTGAAGCTCTGGAAGAGCTTAACCTGCCGAGCCTGCCCTCTGAGCCAAACCTGAAGACTCTTCTCTGGATTCCCATGCAGCTCTGGACTAAGAGCTGGAAACTCAAAGACGAGGTCTGCCCTCACGCTAGAAGTAAGACGCTGAAGCGGTTATCGGACTATGCTGAATCAAACAATCTCTGGACCCAACAGTTCCTCTCTCAAGGCCTTAACCGGACTTCTCAAGGTACAAACCTGAAGCTCTCAGAATCAAACTCAACTAATCCAACGCTAACTGAACTGTCTCCTACACAGACTCCAGTGAACCAGCCCCCAGGCCTGAACCAGTACCAGTATTTCCATGTGCTTTGTGAACAATAAACTTGTTAAACTTTTCTTCAGTCTCCGTGGTGTTCTGCATCTTGGGCCTTTCAGTAACCCATCATGACAAACATATAATCAACTAAATGGCAGCACTAAGAATTAAATGAGAAATTTAGGTAACAGAGACATAGAATGATACTCAAAAACAGCCGGTTACCGACGGATACCCATGGACTCGTGGGTAATGTCAAATGAAAGTAAAAAAAAGCATTATTTTTTAACAAGTAACAAATAGCAGCTTGGTTGGTTCTAAGTGGGAAAATATTTGAAAAAAAACAATATCCTATTCAGCTTTAGTTTTTATCCTGTTAATATTAATTTAAAGAGCCTGCCTTGCAGGGAATCTTTTTTTCTGTGTTATTTACAGGAAACAAGTATTTAAGTCTTACCCGAGCACCAGGGATCTCACAGCAGGTCTCCTGAATAGCGAGTAAAGGGTCACAATACAGCATCACCTGCTGAATATCCATCTGGAAAAGACAACATGAATAAACAGAGATTGCATGCAGGGTTATACATCTGCTGCTGTTTTTATTCTATAAGTAAGTTAGACAGTAAACATGGCGTTCAGCCAATACATTTTTCATTTGTGCATATATTTGGAAAAGCTGTTTGTAAAGAGCTTTACATGCATGTGCATGTGTGGACCATCTCTTTCTGCACCAGTAAAGCATCTCTTGCATTCTAACTAAGGTGATTAACTGTTTTTCATTAATATTCCTTAATAAGACTGCCACACACACACACACACATACACCAAAATATATTTTATATATCTTGCAGAGTTACATGAGTAAATATAACTTTTTAATATAAAAGTGTACAGTGTGTTTTTTATTGCGCTAGGCACAAACAATTATGCTATGCTTTAATCTCATCAAGAGAAATACATGGATATGATAAGGGGGTAGCTAGAGTAAATATTTAAAGAGGATTATTGCAACATTTAAATTGCCTACATGACAGTTGCATTATCAAAATTATCATAAAGTCTTATCCATCTAATCTTTAACAGCATTTTGTTTTAAGTTTGCAGGAGTGTTTTATCTCTTAAATAAACATTACATTGAAACCCTAACCCTGTCACATTTTAAAGCATTACAAACACAATCTTCAGTTTTGTGTAAATGGAGATTGCTTTAGATTAACATAAACTACTGCATAGTTGTCAAAGTAACATTAAAGGTTGAGTACAATGATTTGGTGACAAATTTAGGATTTGGAAATTGAACTTAATTTAATTTTTAAGTGGTGTTATGTTGAAAATTGGGTGCCCAGTAATGAAAAGAGCATTATCGTAAGTGTCCCATTGTTCAATATTTCTCAGAGCTTCTCAGTTTCAAAACCATCCATCCATCGTCCCCCGTTTATTCCGTCAAGGTGATGCTGGGACCGTTCCCTATCTCCAGCAGCCTGTGGACAGGTGGTGAATCTGTCGCAGGGCAACACACAGACACACAAAGACATACTATGCACACACACATTCACACCTGAGGATAATTTAAAGAAGCCAATCAACCTAACAGTCATGTTTTTGGACATTGGTACAAAGCCGGAGTACCCAGAGAGAACCCACACTTGCACATGGGTTCAAAACCAGAACCTTCTTGCTGCAAGGCAAAGGCCAAACGTCTGTTTTAATAACTATAGTGATACTGTATTTAAGATTCTGAATAAGTTATGAATGCAACAATCAAACACTGGAAAATTAAATATTACTACTTTAATTCAGCACTGTCACATTTTGAATGTGTTAAAATTCCCCTCAATCGTGTTTCCTCATAAGACTGTTTATGTACTTCAGAACCTTTCAAATATTTTCTTTTTTTTTCGGTCTAGATGGTTTATCAATTAAAACAAGGGTTATAAAAGCTTCTCTGTGGATACAGTAAAAGGTAAACATGTATTCATGTTATCTTCATGTTATATTCATGTTATCTATGTATAAATCACATTTATTTGGCTAATTATATTTTAAAAAATCAGCAAATTAAAACAAGAAATGAATTATTATCTAAAGTCCGTAGAAAAAGGATCTCAATGCATTCTCCCTCAGCTGCCCATAAAATTGTAATTCTGGTCTTGAATTAATGTGGGGGCTACAGGTGAAGTTATTCTCACTTGCACTGGGTTGGCATCTGATGCTCGAACTCCCAATAATGTGTGTCCATCAGTCTTCAGGATGCCTCGTGGCTCAAGGGGCTTCGTCTGGATGGAGCTACAGTCAACATGGAGGGAGGCGGCGTCACGTTGCACACTGAGGGCTAGCTTGTGCCATCGAAGGTCCATCAGGGCTTCGACCTCCTCTCCATTAAAAACGCAGCTCACCAGCTCAGCCTCAGGGTCAGCACCTTTGGCCCGTAAGGACAGGGTGCCATCAGGTGCGCTGAATTCCACTGAGAGCTTATGGAGGAAGGAGGAGGAAGGAGAGGAAGTTATGAAGAGGTAAGGTCTCAGAGTGTGTAAGTTCAAGACTACATAAAATCATGTTGTATCTAAAGTCATCTGAGTTCAACAAAGAGTAATTTGCACACACAAGTAGGAACAAGCAAGGCTGTAGAACAACACATCCAAGATGTGTTATAAAAAGAAGTCATATTAATTACACACGCAAACAAATGCAGCCAATCAATCACAACTAATGAGGCAACTTACCCTCCATCCATCATACACACTAAGAATTTAAATCTGGCCTCAGACTAGTAGTGATTACTGAGACTCAGAGGGATTCCAGTACTTCATCATGGAACACATATGAATAATAATGAAGGTGAATGAAAAATGAGTGCTAGAGATGATTGAAGTGGGGCAGACAAAGGAAAAGAGAAAAAGAGAAAGGGTTGCCCAATGAAAAATAAGTCAGGACAAAAAGCATCTGGGATGAAAGGGTGGCGGAAATTGAAAAGATGTCACATGAGAAAAGAAATTGAAAGAAAATATGTAAAAAGTTGGGAGGATAAAAAAAGACCTGGACAAAGCATGCTGATAGCGAGAAGTTGTATGACAAGAAAGTGTGAAGCAGCACCTGTGGATATCCCTGCTGATCCGATATATGAAAGAGATAGATGGTTTCCCTCAGAGCAGCCTTTTTCAAAGCAAGGGTGAAGATCAACGTGAACTCATCAGGTAAGCCATGAGGGAAGACTTCACTAGAAGACACAAGGGACGAATTATCAGAGGTTTGATGAGCACCAACTGCTGACAACACTACAAAATAAAAAAATATATTTTTTTTTTCTTGACAAAAGTTGTATTTTTACCTAGGCTTAAAAAATATGCAAATAGGAATTAATTTGAAGAAAATGTTATTATAAAAAAATATTAAAAACTTGGATACAAAGTTCATGCAAAACTTAGTAGGAACAATGCAATTTTTGAAATGCCAGACCAAAGTTGCCTCTTTTATATGTTTAAGCTATCAATACAATGAGTTTGAAATAATTTAGACAGAATAAAAAAACATTATATATATTCTGATTTTGATGATCTTGCTTTGTTCTATGACAAACAGCTTTAAAATCAATGCTTTTAATGTGTTTTATGCTGATATATAATTTTTTTTAAATTAAGTTACCTTGCTATGTTAAATTCGCAGACTAAAATTAAAGTATTTTTTAACACACATAGACTGTAGGTAAAACTTAGAGGACAGAGCTGTTAAAAAGGCTTTCATGTATATTTTTATATTTGGCCTTTTAGGTCCTAAAATATTATTGTTTTCATGCATTTCCTTCTAAGTGCAGATTTTTGCATTCTAATAATCTTATGTGTATATCTTATTAGATTTATTGTTATAAATTCAGCTTCTTGCCTCTCAGCCTCATGTCACCTACTCTGAAATCTTTGCCAAATTTAGAAAAAACATTGCTTATCATAATGTACAATCCATCCATCCAACCATTATCTGACATGCTTGTCCCAATTGGGGTCGCGAGGGGTGCTGGTGCCTATCTCCAGCAGTCATTGGGCGAGAGGCGGGGTACAACCTGGACAGGTTGCCAGTCCATCGCAGGGCAACACAGAGACACACAGGACAAACAACCATTCACACACACACACACCTAAGGATAATTTAGAGAAGCCAATTAACCTAACAGTCATGTTTTTGGTCCGTGGGAGGAAGCCGGAGTACCCGGAGAGAACCCACGCATGCCCAGGGAGAACATGCAAACTCCATGCAGAAAGACCCTGGGCCAGGAATTGAACCCAGAAACCTTCTTGCTGCAAGGCAGCAGTGCTGACCACTGCTCCACTGAGCAGCCCAATATTTACAATATTAAAAAAAAAAAGCACTCATAAAGCACAAGAACAACTTTACTATGATGGTTCTCGTTTGCCACAGAACTGAAATCATTTACAGACTTCATTATCAAAAACAGAGGGGAGCAGAGGGAAGTTATTAGCCTAGCAGTCTACATTAAAACATCACCATGTGCAAAAGCGACATTTGTTTGAAGACTGTAGTTTGTATATTTTATGAAACACAAGAGCTGCCCTGGATAAATTTTAGTTAAAGCAAGAAATAGTTTCACCTAAAAAGTGTGTAGCCTTCTGTTAAAATACCAATGTTTTCAATGCAAAAAAATGTTTGACTTTAATATTTCAAAAAATGTTTCCTTCTCAATGTGCAAAATGCCTTGTAAATTTGAAGTGAAAAACAAATAACACAAACAATAAAACCGACTTAATTACAACTTGAGTTTACACCTTCCAGTTTAAGGGAATTAGAGAGGGACTCATTTAGGCTCATTCTTAAATACAAGTATAACTATTGATTGATTGATTGATTGATTGATTGATTGATTGATTGACCTCATTGATCTCACAGTGGAGATATTTACTTGTTACATCAGCTCAAGTAGTCAAAGAAGAAGAATGTGCCATAGGAAGAAAAAGGTGCATGGGATATATACTGTATATACTGTACTGTACAGTGCGTCCATATTCTTTTCCGGGTTATTGCACAGAGTGTTTACACGAGTATTTCTACACATGGTATCAAAATGGTAAATCGTACATTATACATTGCAAAAGTTATTGCCATTGTAGTACATAAAGTAAATTATATTCAATGGGAGAAGGATGCCTCAGCATTGTCTCTGCTCTCTCTGCTTTTTCTCATAGTAGCTTCATCTGGTCTGTTTCTGTTTGGCTGTGACACCATCATGGAGGAAAAACATCAGCTGTGCTGCTGCCATCAACACCTTTGTTTATAGATGTTGGAGATCAGCCTGTTTTTCCATTGAAGTCCTGTTTCTCTGACTGTGGTTGGCTGGATTTGCTCCCTTCATCCTCTGACATGGGAGTTGGTTTGGAGCTCGTCTGCCTGGCTGTGTGTTTCCTGGACGGGGCCGCGTTTTACAGCTGCTTTTTGTATCTCTGCTTCTGTCTCCTTGAACCCCAGTTGGCCTCGGATCACACTGAGCCTGGTTCTGCTGGAGGTTTCTTCCTGTTAAAAGGGAGTTTTTCCTCTCCACTGTCGCTACAAGCATGCTTAGTGTGAGGGATGTTTTGTAAATTGGTGCTATATAAATAAACTAAATTGAATTGAATCTGTCATAAACTTCAGTCTGTAGAGCCATGTTCGCGGGTCTGCAATCTCTACAAACCAAACATTTTTTCTACACAATGAGATTCATTAAACAAATTTTGATAAACATGCTTTTTGTACACATAGTACATATTTAGACCTAATTAATATTACAGCTTTAATTCACAGAATGTCATGATTATTGTCCATTTCTCTATATGGTGATAAAAGAAGGAAGAGAGGAACTATGGAAACACTCAGTCCTGCAGAATGTTCTTCATGGCATCCATCACACACTCCTTTTTTCACTTTGTTTTAGAGATGCTAGGCACAGACAGATAAGATGTTGAACTTCACCCGTATGTAAATGTTAAATCTTTAAGTGATTTATTTTCCTGGACTGAAACAAATCCTCTCTAACGTGCTGTGCTCTATGCTTCCATACATCATGTGCACTGTGTGTGTGAGGAGCCCTGTCTGAAGGCACGTAACAAAGAGAGAGTGATAGCCATCTTATTAGCCTTAATGTCTGATCATTTCCATACTTGTTTTGCTGTCTTGGAGCTATTATTTCAGTTAGCTAAACAGGCTAATATATTGGTTACTTGTGTCCAACATCGATGACAGGTTATCTTCTTGCATATACTGCCCACTCTCTATTGCTCTAGGCTTAAATTTGCTTCCTCCTAAACACATTTTTGGACTGCATCAGTGACGCACAATACAAAGCCCCTGGCTGTGACCCCTCTGGCATTCATTTTCAAAAGAGAAACAGTGTGTGACGCTTCATTCTTTGGTTTCAGTCAAAGGCATCCAAGATCACCAATTTTAAAGACACACAAAAAAAAATTACAATTCATGCAGGTGTAGATATATATCCAGAGAGGGGGGACTCACAATGGAGCCTGGTGAAATGCATCCTCACAGAGATTGTAAAAACTATGAAATATTCTTCCTTTCTCTATTTCTCTTCAACTCTTTTTTGCACACACACAGAATTGTTGATGCTAGCAGCTGGTCTCTTACTCCTAGAAGTTGGGTGACATTGATTTATGAGCGAGGTAGGATCCTAGGGAAAACAGGCAAGCAGGAGACGTCAAAACAAAGGAAAGATGAGTGGGGAAAAAACTGAGAAGGAGAAAACGCTGAAAAAATACAAAAAAAAGAAGAAAGGGAAGGGCAGAGGGGTACATGAAGAGTAAAGCCGAGCACCAAAGAAATGCATAGAAGTTTTAGCTTTAAAATGCGCCCACTGTAACCTATGAAGGTGGACAAACTGATAAATAAAAGACAGAAAATGTGAAACAAAGAGCCACAACTGAAGGAAAGAAACCAAAAAAAGTTATCCCCAGAACACACTTGTTTTGCTGTCCATTAGAGAAATGAGCTGCAGGGCACAAACCCACTCAGAAGAACTATTGACTTTTTTAGTTGGAAGGGCTGAAGCATGGCCTGTTATAGTCAGGGTCATAAAAAGAATGTGATAAAGAAAAATCCCAGTAACTCATAAACAGACACACACAAATCTGTAAAGGATAGATTGCTCAGAATGCACCAGACAGACTGAAATGATAAAATGACAGATTTGTAGTTTAAGTAGTAAATATCAAATGGGAAAGTATATTGACAGCTTATATTAACTTCTCACTGTGCCTGGATGAACTAATTTCAGGGCCTAATTTACTACTTCTCAAAAGACATGTTATACAATAACAAGATAGTAGAGCAGTTGCTAAGCTGCTTTGCTACATTATAAAAGAAAATGCTGATGAGGTTTGATTTGAAGGTTTTGTTGACATGCCAGCAAAGGTCATGATGGTTTGGATGACAGATGGATATTTTCAATTTAGGTGAAATGATGATAACTTATTTTGTGGACCCAGGATTTGTGGACTGGTGCCAGCAGAACGACCTCCTGATTAATGAAGGGAAAACCAAGGAGCTAGTGGTTGACTTTTGCAGAAGCAGATCCACCCCACTGACACGGGAGAACATCCAGGGAATGGACATTGAGAGAGTGGACTCTTATAAGCACAGAGGTGTTCACCTGAATAACAAACTGGAATGGACTCACCACACTGAGGCTCTGTATAAGAAAGGTCAGAGCATACTCTTCCTGCTCAGGAGACCGATGTCTTTTGGAGTGCTGTGGGCACTCCTAAACACCTGCTATGACTCTGTTGTGACATCAGCCATGTTTTATGGAGCTGTCTGTTGGAGCAGTGGCTTATCTGTAGCTGAGAGAAAGCGGCTGGATAAGCTGATAAGGAAGGCCTGCTCTATGATTGGATGCCCCTTGGACTCAGTGCAGGAGGTGGAAAACAAAACGACCATAACAAAATTAACATCTCTGTTGGATAATGTCTCCCACCCCGTGCATGATGCTGTTTTTGAACTGGAAAGCTCCTTCAGTGATAGACTGCTACACCCTAATTGCACCAAGGAGCATTATCACACATCCTTCCTCCCAGCAGCTGTAGAACTATAAACATCACTGTTCCCAAACACTTCAATAAAATGTTACATTCATGCGGATTTTTGCACAGTTTATGTTTTGGTCACTTGTATAACATGCCACTGTCATTTTTTGCACATCTCTGGTGTGGCTGCTATTTTTTTTCACATATCCATTATTTTAAAAATGTTCACAGCTGTATATTGATTGTCTAATCTTCAGATGCACAGTATTTATATTTGTAAAAACACTGAAAAATACAATGTTTTATTTGTTTATCTTTTTCATATTTTTTCTAAATCTGTCACTTATTCTGTTATTTTTATACACTTTTAAGGTCCACATTTGTATGAACACTTTTGCTGTAATAAAGGGATTTTCTATTCTATTCTATTCTATTCTATTCTATTCTATTTCTTATTTAAACAAGCAGCTGAGCATTGATGCCATGTTATTAATCTCTTTACTGTATAACGCATATCCAGCCATGGAGAATGTATTTTAAAAGACTAGTCGTTGAGCAGCGTAGTTTTCCCCTTCTTTACCTATTTATATATCTTTTCATTTCATTGTCATTCGCAATATTATATTGCGAATGACACTTGTTCTTCACCCCTAATATATATATATATAAGACACACCTCTCTTGCATTTAAAGCACTTATTCAGGGTCCCTTCTTCAATGTGAAAACTGACTGCAAAAAAAATTTGATAAACAGGTACACACTGAAAAATGTTATTGCAAGGAATATGAAACAGATGTGGAGTAGCCTTGCTGTACTCTCCTTGTATGCTTGGGAGAAAAGCAAAAACATCTTGAAATGTTCTTTTGCAACACAGAAGTGACAGCTTTTTGTGTGTGCATTCCTTCTCTTCAGTATAAAACTCATCTTAAAGATAGTGACAAATAATATTTTTGTCACTTTCAAGAAAAATAAAAATGTTTCAAGTGAAAAAGTGTGTTGTGTAGGCAGATTCATCTTCAAGGGAGTTCACACATCACATCCAAACACAGAGTAATAAAATACTCAGGGCTTTAGGCTGACCCATTTGGCAACTTCGAGGGAAAAAGCTTTATCTCTGAGATCTGTTTCATTTAAAGTAAAAAGACCAAAACCTTAAAAAGCAATTGTCATTTCATTAAAAACAGTCTACAACCAATCAAAAAAGTTCATATATAATAAGGCATAGGCTTTTGGTTTTTTTAACGGCAACAAAACAAATGCCCAGGGACAAAGTTAGGAACATGCTTTTTTTCTTTTTCTTTTTTTGTGGCTGGTAACTTCATGATGCCTCCTAATTAAGACATCACTGCTACATATTCTGCCAAGGCAAATAAGGATGAGATTTCATTATGCATGCTCGTTTTACTACATAGATGTGGTTAAAACCATAATAACAAAAAGGGTTGTAAGAATCCAGTTTTACAAGCCAGTAACATTTTGTTATTATGGACACATAATCAGTGCCTGACCAGTGTTTCTGCTTTCTTTTGCAATAGCCTTTAGAAAGTGCTGACATGTGGAGGTTAACAGGCTGATATGGCTAAAGGGGACATTCAGACAGATGGGAAAAGAGAAAGCCTGTCAATCTGAGCCCACACAGTTTTGGAAATTTTGCACATAATTTAACTTTTATTCTCCTCCCTCCTACCTAAATCTGAACAAAACATATTTTTTTACCAGATGAACTCTGTTGGGTAAGGAAGCAAAGAAAAACAGAGAAGAAAAAAAAAGAAATGTACAGTGAACTCACTCGCTGGGGCGCAAGAGTGGTGCCTTGCCGAGGCGTAGGATAACAGAACCTCGAGGGTTGCGGATCTTCCTGACATCTGTGTCTTTGAGCATGGAGAACCTCCTCACTAAATTAAAACCTGGGGGCAGTTGGAAAAGAAATAAAGGTCAGATAATTATGTTGGGCAACATAAGCATTTAACTCTGCAAAGTTTTTCTCAGTAATGATTATTGCAATACTCCTATACAGTAGACACAAACATCCCACCAGACGTCGGTAATATTTAGCTAATCCAGACAAGCAGAGCATACTGAGAAATAAGTTCAAAATTGAGTAATTTATAATAAATAAAGTGGAAGGATAAGAACCGTTTAAAAAAGAACGGAATGAGGCCACAAAAGGCAAACCAAGTGAAAAAAAACACTTGGAACGTTATTACTTAGTGAAAAGTTCTGTGCCTTATTAGTTTAAATTAACATCAGCTGGCTTATTCCAACCTTATGGGCCTTGGAACAGGTTTCTCTTTGCAGATCTCACAGAAGAATGATCTCTTTTTAGCAAAATAAGTCTACTCTATATCTTTATTTAAATGCGAAAAATGAATATTCATTGACATGCTCACAACAAGGTTCAACATGTAAATATGCCAGATTTAGCCTTAAAGTCTAATTTATATCTGTAGATCAAACTCTTCTGAGACCTGCACGATCTCATTGTTGTCAAAAACAAATGCTACAAATGCATGCCTCCAACGTTCTGAATACCCCAGTGAGCACTGTTGAGCAATAATAAAACAAAAAATATGGCTACAACCAGGTGCTCTTCTTAAGATTTCTGACAGAGATGTGACATTGTGTAAAGAGCTTATGGCACGTTCACCACGGTGCTTCTGCACCACTTCCACATTCAGAAGGACACAGAAAGAAGGAAGGAATATCTGGAATTAGCAGATGCTGTAGTTTCTGTACATTTTCTTAACCACCATGACTTCAATGCCTACTTCACTAAAGTTATTAAAAACAAAAGTGAGCATACTGTGTATTTAATGATCTACCGATTCATTTCTGAATAATTTCAAATAACTGGGCCTCAAGAAATGATTGTGTTTTCTTTGAAAGAGAAAACTCAGAAAACTGAAACAATCAGATTAATTGTGAATAATCGATTATTGAAATAATCGTCAATTGATTTACTAATTGATTAATCATTGACTGGAGTGTAAAGACTCTAAATGTGCCTTTAGCTGACAAAGCAACCCACAGCAGCAATTGTACCAAAACTGTAAAGAAAAGAAAATAAAGGTTAACGTTTTGCATTTAAGATGAATATCTTTTTCTTCAATCAGTATGCTCTATCCAGCACTCCTCAAGTGGTAAAGTTCTAGTTACACCTTGTTTAATTTCACAAAAAGTCTACTTTAAGGAACCTTTTCCTATCCCATTATTAACCAATCGAAAAAATAATCAACGGTTTAATCGATTTGTAAAATAATCGTTAGTTGCAGCCCTAGTGAAAACTATTTGTTTATCCAGAAGGAGAGAAACCTGCAAAGCCAATGACCCAGTGCAATCAGCTGGATATCCTTAGACAGAAACCTTTTAACCATTGTGTCTGCTTGATTTGATTTGAATATCTCTATAAACTTGAGATGACACATGCTGGGAATTGAAGCTAATTAAATACAACGGATTCAATGAAATTTGGGTTACTATTAGCTTAAAAAATAAATATATCAATATGTCCATGGGAATCATGTACTGTGAGAAAGATTGTTATTGTCAATACTTATTTTAACCTCTCAATATCAGTAATTAAGCTTGCCCATTCACCAGTGATGTTTTGCCTCGCTGTCTGAGGGAACTTCCACTCAGCCACTTGTAAGGGCGGGCACTGGGTACCTGTGGGAACAAAAGAAAAAAAAAACATGAGAAAATACTCACATGTTGTAAAACCTGAGATGTACAGCATCTGTTAGATGTAAAAAGTCATCTGACAACACATGTCTAAAGAAACCATCAACACTTCTTTCTAAGTGATGCGGACAGAGTTTGTGAGCGAGAGCAAATCAGCAACTTCAAACGTAAATGTGAGCGGAGCTGAAATATTTATTACGAAAGATAGATAGAACGAGCTCTTGGAGGCGAAAGAGAGTTAAAAGAAGTGTAAAACACAGACAGGCTGCTGAAATGAAGGCAAGGCGCTGCAGAGTGTAACACAACCTGATCTGACAGGTTGTCTAGCACCCAGCTTGTCTGTCGCGGTAGCCTCATTTTGATGGACACATTCTCACCCCGCTGGGTCGATTGCAGAGTAAAGTGTTGCCTGTCAGCACAGCCCACCTGACTGCAGAGTAGTAAAGATTTAAGATGTTTAGAAAAACCAAAACTATACAGGTAGACATGGACCCTCTGAAACAAGAGTGATTCACAGTTAATTGATCTCTTTGGGGCCAAGAGCAGTAGGCCTGAGCAAACCATTCTACCATGTATAGTTTTTGTTTCAAGAAAATCTGAGAGCAAATGGAACCATATGATGACCAAAAATAAAACTAAATACTTTTCTCTACCGTGTGATCGTCTCAACAACAACTTCGATTATTAAGGTCTCTATATGTACCAGACTGAAAGCTGGAGATGTTGATGCTACAGTGTGAAATTTATTTTATAGTTTTACATCTTTAATGTCATTAATTTCAAAAAGAATGTTTAATATCAAATATAATATTTTTCTAATGTATCTCTGGTTAGATAGTCGAGCACTACAGGGTAGAAAAGAAAAATAAATGCGAGTATGTCTTATAGAAGAGTGTTTACTTATTATGAAATTAATTGGCTTTTACTGAATTAGTACAAGGTGGGTATTGAAAAACATTGAATAATTAGCACAGATTTAATTCAGACATGCAAAAAATGACAAATTGTTATCAATAAATGTTTTTCCAGAAAAAAAAATCGTAATAAATTCTAAAACTTGTAATAACTTTGGTATATGTGTAACTTTTTGGGTCAGAGATTTGGCTATTTTTAGTAGCTTTATTAATATAATTAGTACTGTCAACACTAAAATAAAAAACTTTAGCATAACTATAACTCTTAAAATATATATAAAGAAAAAGCTGACAGTTGACAATCGTCAACCTGGAAGTAAACGATGCAAGCAAGGTTGGTTAATTGGTGACATTTACAGGTTTAATTGTATGGAGTTTTTAAGTTGGCAGAGTGATACGATACTAGAAGGTCAACTGTTGGTTTAAACTACTTCAAACAAGACAGCAAAACAACATAACATAATTTATAGACATAAAGAAAACCACTATCAGTGAACTACTGAAGGTGAAAAACTCTCCCTTCACAATTAATCATTCATCATTTGATGTGTGCAAATTATTCTCACATTAAACACATTTGAAATGCATGAACTTTGAAGCAGAAATAATATTTTAAGTTACATCACATCAACACAATCACTTGAGACGCCGCACATTCTGTTCACACAGGCTTCCAAATTAAAGAAAGTCTTCTTCAAAGAAAAGCACATCCCATTCTATCTGAACAGATAATCTGTTGTTACTAAATTACAGATTATGGTTTAAAAAAATGTAATCAAATGGTCAATTATGACACATGAAGTGAAGAAATCAAGTACAGGTTTGGGGTCTTCTGAGTACAAACTCACACATGACTTTTAAGGTTCACTGTTTTTTCCTTAATAAGCACAAAATGCAGCCAAAAACAGAAAAATTCCAATAAACAATAGTTTGTCATTGTTTTTATGTCCACATACTTCTTTTTTTTCATCAAAAGACACCAATATCTACCTTCTTTGGCTTCCTACTCTGCTTTCTTACTTTCCTATTTGCTTTTTTCTCACCCTCTTATTTCCATCTGTCAAAGCAAAGATGAAAGCTCTGTCAGACAGAGGGGTATTCTGGCTGAAGGCAAGTGGGTGGCAGAAAATTTAAACAGGTTAACAGAGGAGATGGAGGGAAAATAAATGCCAGAAGAGAAGATGAAAGAGGAAAATTAAGGCAATAACAGAGTGAGATGTAAAGCGATATCTTAATACACAAAGACTTTTCAGACCATAGAGTCCACATCAGCTGAAGCACATTCTTGTGCTCCATGAACACTTTTCCTCTGGTCAGCCAACATGCATTAACATTTTTCCATTCGTTTTTCAAGGTAGAAGGTTTTTCAGCATGGATAAAGAATTATTTCACTTATATATCTTATCCAAATATTTAAAACAAAAACAACATAAAAAAAAACATACTGACTTTGCAAGATAAAAACAAATCAGCTTCCCTTTTTTTGCTTACTTTTTGTCTTTAAACAACAGGTATGATTTTTAGACATAATCCAGCAATTTTTAATGGAAATCTAATGAGCATTTACTCTGGGGGATTAATTTAATTGACTTAGCTGTCCCTCAGGCAATGGGTATGCTTACCAATGTATAAACAGAGCACAAAAAAACTGCTATCGGTCATGGTTGTGATTTAAAGTAATTTAACTGTAGTGAATATTTATGGTTTGGGTGGTACAGTGGATAGCACTTTTGCCTTGCAGCAAAAAGGATCTTCGTTTTATTCCTGGCCTAGGGTCTTTCTGCATGGTGTTTGCATGTTTTCCCCATGCATGCATGGGTTTTCTCAGGGTACTCTGGCTTTCTCCCACAGTCCAGAAAACATGACTGTTAGGTTAACTAGCCTCTCTAAATTTTCCTTAGGTGTGACTGTGTGTGCACGGTTGTGTGTCTTTGTGTCTCTTTGTTGCCGTGGGACAGACTGGCGACCTGTCCAAGGTCTACTCAGTCTCTCGTTCATAGACTACCGGAGATAGACATCGGCCCCACTGCGACCCTGAACAGGACTAAGTGGGACAAAATGGATAAATGGATGGATGAATATTTATTGAAATACACTAGTAAATATGTGTTTTAACATAGTTGGTTCGGGTAAATGTATTTAAAGCATATGCCTTACTTCTTCCAGCTGCAACCACATCAAAATGGGTGTTCTGTTAAACTTGTAGAGTTAACTACACCAGAGAGAGAAAGTTATTGATTTTGAATAAGGCAAAACGACAAATCCTAATTTTTGGATTTTGCAAATGCAAAGCACTTAACCAGTTTGGCGTAGGATATACCGCATTATTGGAGCCCCTTCTCTGAAGGGTTTATCAAAGCAAAGTTTGTGCTTGTTGACAAGCCAATTAGCTCAAAGTATGTAGAAATGGTTATGCCAGAATCCTGCTAGTAGCTGAATGTTGCCCAAAGAGAAGATTTTTGCTGATTTCGATCTCCACTGTGTTTAAGCCTTGCCAAAGCAGGTAATGATGCTATGTTGGCAGTCATACAGTTAACTGCTGAGAGAGGCTCTCCCCTGTACCTAAAAGAACTGCTCACCCCTTTCACTACAACACGATCCCGCCGCACAAAACACTCAAACCACCTCCTCCTCCCCCAAGGCTAAGCTAAGCACCACTTGCCATTGTGCCTTCTGCTCTGCTGCTCCTCGGACATGGAATCCTCTCCCTGATCAGCCGAGTGAATCACAGACTATCTAGTCTTTTAAAATAGGATTAAAAACATTTCTTTTTAGCAGAACTTACAACTGTTACAACCTTTTATAATGATGCCACTGACTTATTTATTCATATGTACTTTAATGAGGTTTAGTTTTTAATGATGATTTCTATGATGATTTGACTTGAAGCACTTTGAGGAGTTTTTCTAAATGTAAAGTGCATTACAAATAAAATTTATTATTATTATTATTATAAGTCTTGCCAATGTTAAGAGATAACCTAGATATGATATATCGTTTAGAGGTAAAACACTAGTTCTTGAGTTTCACTCTGTTTTTTGAAAGGTGTATAAATTAAATGACTTAGGTCAATGTAAAAAAATACATAGTTCTGAAGTGTTTTTTCAGTTTACATTTTTCAGTGCGGGAGGGCTGAATAAGATAAGACACTGGGTATACAGTATAGACCCACTGCCTGTAAATAGGAAAACATGACCATACATTCTGCAGGCACCCTCAATTCCACTGTCCCTGCAACCTATAAGGACATGTGGTGATCTGGTTAGTATGTTTTCTTAAAAAAAAAAAAAAAAGTTATTTTGTTTGTCAGAGTAAATATTGTACCAATATTGTGCATTTTAGCAATTTTGATAATTACATTCGATTCAATAAAAAAAAATTAATTAATTGTAATGATTTTAAGAAAGGTCACTAAATATGGTCTAAATATGAATGCTATACATGTTAATGACCAACATATTTACCTATATGAACCATTAAACCATCTAATGATTAGCCTGAAATGCTAAGTTAAGTCGTTTTTTTTGTTTGTTTGTTCTTTTCCGTTTTTTTGTGGTGTTAGTGGGCGTAGTTTAAAACAAGTACAGTACCTCTGGTAAGTTGAGCCAGTGGTTAAACTAAATCCACCATAGTTCTTCTGCATTAAATTTTGTTCCACCAACATTTGCCTTCAAACATCCATTTGCTGATCACCACAGAGAATGATAGACTGACATAAATGTAGCTGTACCATCATTATAAAGCCTGCAAGGCAGGTAAAGTGTTTTGACAAGGACAAACCCTCACCACTTGAGTGCCAACCTGTTAGTTGGTGACGTTGGTAACTTAGGATCGAAACACAGGGGCTACCTTTACAGTAAATTGCCTTGGTTGAGAATGTTAATATCCAATAAGAGAGTTCAAGGTTTCTTCTAAGAATATAGTTTTAGCATTTTTACTGATGGTAAAAACCCAGAAATAAATGTATATATTTTGGTTTTAATGGTGCATCACTTTCCATTGTGGACAGTGTTGTAAAAAAATGCTTCAAGTAACCCCACTCTCCCCTAGAGAAATTTTCTTCTGTTTAAA